TCTTCAAACTGCAGTGTTTCTTTGTGTCCTAGCTTTCGGCCAGAAAGACGCATAAACGCCAAACTACTCCGTGACTAAATCTATCAATGCCTGCTTTAACCGAGACCAGAACAAGGAGGGCTAGACAAGGCTGACAGAATTACAGACATTCAGCACCCTGTCTGTCAATCTATCACTGTCACTTGCCCAATACTGTCTTCTCCCACAATATTATGATTTACCAAACAGCCCAGTTAGGTGCACGTATACATTTCCCAACTACTTACTAAACTTTTCCGGAAATTTCTTGATGTGCTGCCTATATTATGAAAACATATGAGTGTCTCCTTCCTAAAATATATGCTTGTGCCATTGGTGGCAATCATAACCATAGTCGTAGCTTACATCAGCGAAATCCATAGCCGCCAAGTCACTATGGTGGGTATTAGGCATAAGAGCACTCTCAGACATGCCCATGGAAATATTTTTCAGAGAACGATGATCATCATCATCATCAGCCTGACTACGTCCACTGCAGGACAAAGGCCTCTCCCATGTTCCGTCAGTTATCTCGGTCCTGTGCTTGCTGCTACCGATTTATACCCGCAAACTTCTTAATCTCGTCTGCCCATCTAACCTTCTGTCTCCCCCTAACCCGCTTCCCTTCTCTGGGCATCCAGTTAATTACCATTAATGACCAGCGGTTATCCTGTCTACGTGCTACATGCCCGGCCCTTGTCCATTTCCTATTCTTGATTTCAACTATGATATCCTTAACACCGGTTTGTTCTCGAATCCACTCTGCTTTCTTTTTGTCTCTTAAGGTTACACCTACCATTTTCCTTTCCATTTCTCGCTGCATCGTCCTTAATTTAAGCTGAACCCTCTCTGTAAGTCTCCAGGTTTCTGCTCCGTAGCTGAGTACCGGCAAGATGCAGCTGTTATGTACCTTTCTCTTGAGGGATAGTAGCAATCTACCTGTCAGAGAACGATGACCATGACTAAGTCTGCTGGAAGCAAAACTTTGTTTGTTCAAGCTAATCGTGAAAATGTGAGAAAGTACTTACTCGAGGAAGCGCTGCAAGGATTCCCACCAGGGGATCTGCTGATGTGGCACAGAGTATAAGAAAAGACAGTTGGCAATGCTAGAGAGAAGTCAGTGAGCTCATTATTCCTTGAGGCACAATGTACACATTCAGACGCAAGTTGTGTTTTGCTTGTTCTCAAGTCTAGTGGCTAAGAAAGAGCAAGATAGAATAATGGCGAGCCGGGTTGGTACGTATTAATGTGAGAAGACTAGGCATACAAACTTGAACACTAGTGAAGTCAAAACATCACCATTGCTGGCTGCAATACTACCTAATAAAAAACTGCTTTCTGCATGATGGTGTCTTTACTTACTCATTATTTGCTGCGTAAGACTGTAGACAATCACTTCAGCGATGGGACAACTTTGTTCAATGGCTCTGCAAGAGAGCAACTTTCCAAGGACAACTATGTCAAAAGTATCGTTTGCTCGCTCTAAATGAACGCAACCAAAAACAAATTGCACATGGATCTTGAATTTATTACTTGATTTATATAAAAATGAAAGTGACTGACTGCCAGGAGTTATTAAACATTTATGCATGTATTAAAAATAATCATGAACTCTACAAACGACAGTCATTGTCTTTCTTGGTATGTAATACCAGATGGCTCAGAAATTGTTGGGCAAACTTGACATTTGAAGACCGTTCATCACAATTCATGCATCAAGAGTATTAAAGGTCGAAAACTTGTCAAAAATAAATGTAGTCGTACAAATAGCAAATTACAAGTAGGACATCAATGAACAATAGCGAAAAGTTAAGGGCTCCCTTTTGTTAAGCAGAAACATTGGAACTGTCAAAAAGCAAAAAAAAGTACAGGGGATTATGATGTAAAGATCAGGAGAAAGTGGATGAAAAGATAACTTGCCACAGGCAGGGACCGAACCTGCGAGCTTCGAATAACGTATCCGATGCTATACCAACTGAGTTACAATGGGAGACATCCCCTTGTGCACTTTATAGGGTACGTATATGCATTTAAACCTGGGAGTGAGTCAGCGCCACTGGTAGCCATGACTGCAAATATGAAAAGTGTTGGCGATTCGCTTTTTCGCTCTCCGCTTGCATGCGCCAGGTGCCCCAGCCTGCGCGGTGCGGCTGTGCAGATAACATGTGTACAAATAAAGTCCCTCAATACCGAGACAAGAGTGCACATGCCAAGGCACGCGCTCCCACCTGATTGCTGCCAGCTCACATCTTTTCTCCATAATAGATGTAGAGGAGGAATGGTATGAGTGAAGAGATGGCACCAATGCGAAAAGGACAGGGTAAAGCAGGCCCTCATTGGTTATTTGCTTACGCGGCAGCTGGCGGCAACAACAATAATAGCGCAGTAGGCGATTCGGTCAGCGGCAGAAAGTTCCTGAAGCTCCACAAAAGAGAGAAAAGCGTTGTCTCGCGGCGGCGCGCGGTGCGTGGGAAAGTGTCGCACCGCCAGTGTGTTCATACCTTTACCTTTTGAGCACTCCACCTTTCGAGTAACCCGTATTACCCCTTCAGAGAACGACGGCTGCGGTTAACAAAGCTTGAAGAAGCAGGGCAGCTCTTCGCATTTAATGTACGTGCAGTCAATCACAAAAGTTTATGGACCACACGAGTGCGTGGCCAAAAGCTTCTTCGCAACATTTCTGCTATGTCAGCAGCGGTCAACAGCCCCGCAGCGCCCGAGAAGCATCTCTTCCTTAATCTACAGCCTGTCTTTTTTCTGACTGCATACAAATATTTTTCACCTTTCACTTTTTAAGGCAACACGCTTTTTGGCGTCTGTATCCACGTGCTTCTGCTTTGAAAGCAGTCTATGAGCATAGCTTATCAGTCGCAATCTTTACCAAAAGTGACAATGACATTTAGCCAACGAAACGCTGTCTAAGACACGCCTTGATAGCATTGACCTTGCTACGAAAATACAAATGTGATGGTCACACTGCAGATCAACGCTTGGCGGGAGAAATACCAACTAGCAATGGGCTACGCGGAACTAACAATGCGCTATGTGGCAGTAGAAAAATGAAAGGCCAGTGAATAATAGGAAGGCCTGCTATTGGCCTAGCACTTTGGTCGACGGCAAACTGCGCACCACTAGGTGGCACGGAGGCACGCGCTCTTGTGGTCTCCAAACTTTTGCGATTGACTGTACTGTTCTACTCGTGGAATGAAAGTCATGCTTGCTCGATGCAATGCGGGTAGTATGTCCGCCATAAAGAATCCGTCGGCACTCCTGGTCATGTCTCACTGCCAGGTAATCAACGCGCTCATGCGGCTGCTCGCGAACTCACCCTCCGAGCGGCCCCGCACAGTGAGGCGCCCAACACAGAGTCAGGTTCCCCACTTCTCACATATCACAAAGTCACACAACATTACATATGCCAACGACAGCAGTACCAACTTCCACCAGACTCCTTCACACGGGAGGAGGCTGTTGCACTTCGCCAACTGCAGACCCGAACTTTTCCGAACCTCCACTTCATGAATGAAATATACCCGACACGTTATACTGATGACTGTCCAGGCTGTGGCGCTATCCCCACAACTTTTCACGTTACCGTAGAGTGCTCCGCCGGTTGCTTCCCTCCCCTCCCTCCAATCCTTCGGTCCACCTATACCTCAAAGCAGTGGGAAGGCACCCTTTGCGACGCTCCCCCAAGGTCTGCCGGGCCCTCATCCTCAGGGCCTGGGCTGTCGCAGAGGTTGCCATAGGAGTCCTGGAATAGGGACCCTCCCCGTTTTCTTTGAATTTTCATAATAAAATGTCTTCATCATCATCAGCAATATCACAGAGGACACGCCGAACGTAGTGCGCGGGGCGTTTGTGGGCGCTCTTGGAATGAACGCAGAACTTGGACAATAAAAACACACTTCAAAAAATAAGTGCAGTCTGACGAGTAATACTTGAGCACGATGCCACGGCTGGTTCATGCAAACTCTCTGGTGTAGCACTGAATTCGAAGCTACAAAAAAATCAGAAAAGAGTGCGACGGTTAACACTGTAAAAGAAACACACAAACTGAAATAGATCCCAACTAGAATGGGCAGTACAAGCTCAAACCCACCTGCGTTCCGTTTGTAGCAGGTTCCCAGCACGTTGTGCAGACTTGAAGTTCTGTCATTGCCAGTTTCTTGAAATGCGCACCTAAATCTAAGAATGCCGGCCTCAAGCATTTTTCCTCCAAAAATGCAGCCACCGCGGCCAGGATTCGATCCCACGACCAGTGGGTCAGCAGCCGAGTGCCTTAGCCACTAGACCACCGTCGTGGGTCGGAGATGATGCATAATACTTAACTTTAGCTAGAGCATTGTGAGAGAACCATGGTAGATATAAAGGGTGTGTTTAGGTAGCCTACAGCATATTAAACCGCATAGCCTACGGTCATTTTTAATTCCTGAAATTTGAATTTAGGATATTGGACATTATGGTGTTCTATCTAAACATTTCAAGGAATAAATGAAGTAAAAATTATGAATTTATAAAATAATGTTTTATTAAATTAACTGGCACATTATATTACTCTTCACTGAGAAATGTGAGCAAGGAGTTTTTCGGTTCTTTTTGGACAACCAGGATCATGCGCATCCCAAACGTAAAAACTAGTTGCTCATTTTGAAAACAGTTAATTCAGGGGTGAAAGGGTGCACGTGTTTACATCCAATATGCACGTGTTTACATCCACTGTTGCGTGGTGTGCACATATGAGGATACACATCTCAATGTGAGGCACATCCTACGGCATTTCGATATCGAGAGATTATCTAGTCATTTTTGGAATATTGAACATGTTCAGCGCAACTTTCAAGCAGAGTTGCGAAAACATACCAGGTTGGTTCTTTTGGAGCAGTTTGGTGCAACCGGCGCAGCAATCACATCACTCTGGTGCTATGTGTATCACAAAAAGTAACATGCATTCAACGCTTGACACAATTAGCAACACTAAGTGTTTTGTCATGAATAAGTTATTTATTTGTCTACGCAAATGCAGATAAGAAATATTATAAAACATTCATATATACAAATGACAGGAAAACATGGCAGTGACAATGAGTGTTGGCACTTAAAAAAAAATGTGGGAGAAAAAGGCTCACTACAGAATGGAGTTATCTAATGAAATCTTCAAACTGCTTCAGGCGTCGCATATGTTCAGTTGTGAGGTCTATCGACCTGAAATAAGAGAAAATGCACGTTTTTGTGAATAGCCTCGGCAAAAACAGACCAGCTACAATTACCATTTGCTAATAAGTACCATAACTAAAACACATCAACATTGCAAAAACAAGTGACATACTGCAATACAAGACTGATTGAAAGTTCATTTTACAGATGATTCGACCTTTAATGTATACTTCATTTGAAGTCCTGGAATGCTTTGACAAATGTCTTTCAAAACTTAAATCACTACAAAGATCAATCACTGCAATTATCATCGTAGCTTCCACTACACTCCAACCTCGATATATTGAACCTGGATATATAAAAATATTAGTTATAACGAAGTAAATGAGAAGTAGTAAAACCTTATTAATTTGAACTCGGTTATTCCAAAATCCCGCTCAATTCGAAATATTTCTGCAGTCCAATATTTTGCAATGTAACCTTCAGCGGACAATTTGAAGTGGTGGTCAGCACCAGTCCTGTTGATTCAAAAACTTTGGGTGCAGTGTGCCGATTCCCGATCCCGATTTCACCGCAAAATTGCGGGAACAACAATCCTTAAGAACCACTAGGCAATGTACTGTGGCAACATTAATAAGCGGCATCGGAAGCGCGCCAACCTTGATACTTCCAGTGCAAAAAATAAAATTGTAAAAGAAAAGAAAAAAGAAAAACGGTCGCGTAATCAACTGAAATATGCACCTGCAGAAAACAAGATGCGTCTCAATGCAGAACAGCGGTGACACGCGAGCAGCATGTCGCATGCTTCTCGCAACGTCAGCGCATCATGATTTACCGACTCTTTCCGGGAATATAAAGGAATTAATAAAGGACAGTCTGGCGGGATTCCCGATGCATGCGAACCTACGAGTGCCGGTTGCTCCAGCAATTTTTGCACTTGCACTGCGGGCAGAGTGCTTGCCTGAAACGCCTACTCCGAAAACTCGGTTCGAAAGCTTCAATGATCATGTCTTCCAGCTAAGACACATCGCTAATTTCATCACACTCCCCATTACTGAACTCTTCATTTTACTCGAAAGAATGGACGAATGGCCGCATCATGACGTGCTGACGCAGCGAGGAGCAGGCGACATGTTGCCCGCGTGTCACTACTGTGTTGCAGTGAAGATCTCTTGTTTTTAGCAGGCGCACATTTCAGTTGATCACGATTTGTGTGTGTGTGCGTGAGTGTGTGTGTGAGGTCGCAGCAGCGAGGCCCGGCGTTCTCCCTTGTTTGCAGCAAAATCACGACCTTATATTGCTGAAAAACATAACCCTAGGAGCCGCGATCTAGCTGGCACTGCGAACGACCAGCCCTGATTAGTTGGAATATTTTCAAGTTTCTTGCATCCCACTTTTTGTATACTATTCCGTTATTCCAAAAACCCCCTTGATTCGAAGATTTCTCATGGTCTTGGTGGCTTCGAATTAACAAGGTTTTACTGTACTTTTGCAATAGGTATGGGGCTAGGAATACAGCTTTACAACTAAATTTTGTATATAACGAACTTATTTTCGTGTCAGATGCAACTTCATCATAGTGAGGTTTGAGTGTACCTATGATGAAACATGACCGCAGTTGCTTTCATAAGCTCTCGCAGTCTTATCTAGTAAGGACACAGTGTGCAAAACATTCATTTAATCACTGAATCAGAAAACTAATTTTCTTTTGAGGGGGGGGGGGGGGGGGGGGGGGGGGCAGCACAAGGTATAACTAACTTGCCATGAATAAATACAATCTTATATAGACTGACCCCGGTTCACCTTTTAGAACAGAAAGATACAGCTTCATTTTGATTTCCTGGCTTTGTCGCCAAAAAACTTTACTGCTGAGGTGGCACAAGTAACCTCGCTAAATAGTAAACTGGGTCTACTATCCTGCACAGGCTTTCGCACTAAGCTTCAAACGCATGGCTTTGCCAAGATTTTTTTTTTCCATTAGACATGCCATTAAGCCTAAAGCCTGAATTCAATCGGCTGATGAAAGTGCACAAGGTTTTAAGTAACACGCACAACTACCGTAAAATGTTGCTATAAAACATCAAAAGGAAATGTTTTCGTCAGCTGATATGAGTGCTGCATTCTAGCACATTCTTGTAGGGTCTTCAGTTTCATAGTCGCATAATGTGCAGCCTGAGCACATTGTCCTAATGCTGTTTCCAACTTTCTTAGGCATGCGACAACTGCGACCAGCGCTCAACAAAGTTAAATTGTCCATTAGAAAGCATGATGATGGGCGAATGGGAAAGAACAACAAAGAACAACCATTTCCACTACCACTGAATAGAAATTCAGATTTAGTGTGGAAGCTGAATAGGGCAAGTTTTCGCTTGGTGAGAACTCTTTTTGCTTACTTGTATCTTGAATTAGTGAAGTGATTAGCATTTTTTTTTACGCACATTAAGGCCCTGTAATCCCAAACTTGGTGGGTAAAATATCGGTGCAGCACCGTTTTAAAGCATTAGAGATAAACGCTATGCAAACATCTGTTTTTCAATTAACTTTTTTTTCATGCTGCCATTCATTCACCTTTAATGTCCTTTCTGAAGCTACTGCTCTTGAAAGAAATCCATACAAGTCAAGCAGCCTTTAAATATGCTCTTGGTAAATACTTTTAATTATTCACTATTTCTTTTTTTTCTCATTATTTTGTCATCGTTTAGTAAAACATTTTCATTTAATATGTCTTGCACACCGCTATAGCTTGTGCCTTAAGTCCAATTTATTTGAACTTCTCTTTGTCCGTTGTTATTTTTACTTCTTTAAATTTTCTTTAAGCTCCCTCGCATCGTTACATTCTATGCCTCTTCTTCTCAGCAAACATTGGTCATGAAATATTGTTTTCTCTTGCGTGCTCTGTACATTTTGTCTTGTTGTGGAGCATCACTATAATCATTTGCTCAATTACATGTCGACTATGTAAACCCTCCCTCCTCATGTAATGTCCTGTTTAGGGTCCTCGAAGGTCAATAACCCTTCAATGCTTGAATTACGAAACTGCTGAACAAAATAAAAATTGTTTTTATTTTCCAGCTTTAAATAGCAACCTTTCAATGATTCTGCAGTTAAATTATCTAATATGCAATTTTAATGCATATTTTTATGTATGTCATGAATTCTCTATATGCCATGAAAGCGAAGACCTTGCAACAAAGAACGTAATTCAGAACTACAAAACATGTTGTGTGCCTTTTCTTGGATGTGTGCCCACCAAATAAACAAAATTATTGACGATGCAACTTGCATGTCCCAGTTGAGAAAGAACGAATAAGTGAGAGCTAGCTGTAGCACGCGCTATGCACTCTCCGCCATCAGCTACAAAACAATCGGTTCTAACATGAAATACCTTAGACGAGACGGCACTACATTTTTCATGCTGAAAGCTACGTTCACGGTGAGTAGTACTTGACAGCCAGCATTAAAGGCGGCACGCATTTCGCGACTTGCTTGCTCGAAGCTTTTCGGTACATCGTGAATTGGCGACAATAAAGTAAAGGGACAAGTGATGACGATGATGATGATGTATTGTACTTACCCAAGGTGCTGTTTAAATGTGATTGTCATCTGGTAAAGACCGGTCGTGACTGCAGCCGCCAAGGCCCTCCCCAGACGAAGCTCACGGCCCAAGCTGCTGTTGGGACGACGCAGAATGGAGCAGCGCTTGCTGTGACGCTCCAGCAGCTGCATGCACATCGCCACAATATGGCAACACCACACAAGCAAAACAGCCCTCCGCTACTGCGGTTATCTCTAGATATAATGAGCCATGTTAACTAGCCCACGGTAGATGCTCAGTGAACTAGTTCATTTTTCCCCACCGAAAACTATGCAGAACATAGCAGTAGAGTAAGAGCTCGTTTATTCAAACTCGAAGGCATCTAAAATTGCTCCAATAAAGCAGAGTCCGAATTAGTGGATGGGTGCTGGAATGAACAGACAACACGCCACAGTGTGGCCAGAACCCACGAAAGCCACCCGTGGACAATAGCGAATTAGGCGGTATTACATGTCTTGGGTAAATTAGGTTCATGAATTAAGAGCAAACAAAATTAAATAATCAGTCAAGGAATATGCAACAAACAAGCATCGACATGCATTCATGTGAGAAGCGAGTCTATGAAGCTATTTATGCTCCAAAACGTACTTATTTATATGGCATGGTTAATGCAACCAAAATACTAATAAGTAGACAGTAATTTGAATTTGCGTGCACTTATTTTGTCGTGACTCCATGAACGTAGTTCACAGCTTGCCCAAGAGTTCCAGCACCGTGCACGAATTCTCATCTGTTGAGAAATGCTGCTGTTTCGTTCTTCTGCACTACTATGTCTGGTTTGGTTTGGCTTTGTAACACATTGTGACCACTGTGAGTCGACTTCAGTGAGAAGAAACGACAGCCAGGGGAGGGGGGGGGGGGCCAGTTTGAATTAACAATTGTGGATACCGATGGGCGTGAATTATCAGAGTTTTCTCTCGCAGAAATACACAGGGCTGTGCCAGGGAACTGATGCATCCACCTCCCTTCTGTATGTGATACGCCTAAAGCGCTTCACGTGCTAACGTTTCCTCTGCTTCTTTCTGCCACACACTTATCCACACAATAATGCGCAGCCACACGAAGCATGATAAATCAGCACGTGTGAACCCACACCATTTCTTATCTATAAGACATGCTCCCTAAGACAATCGTCAACGCAGCCACTGATTTGGCCGATGCACGGCTTGCGACAGCTCAATGAAATCTCGTGAGCAATGCTTACCATGCAACAATGAACTGGCCGGGCATGCTTCTTTTTGCATAAAGGCTTGGCGTTTTGCAAATAAATGTGAGCACAGGGTTTCGACAGCTTAATCGGTGACAACAAAACCACTGGAAAACCATGCCTGCTTGCAACCTTTTACAAATTGCGAGCAATCATGGGCACATAAGGCAACATCAGTGACCTTTTTCTTTGCGTGGCCTTGGGCTACTACCTCCTGCTGCATGCTTTTGACTTCCGGAACAAAGATTCGGACGCACAGTTCGCCGAAACGGCCAACATCGCACACACACTCGTGAAACGCACTGCAGACGACACAGAGCCCTCGCGGAAAAGGATAAACTACAGGCGCAAATTTATCTGCCAAATCTGGCAGCAGTTTGACAACACCAATCCCTAAAGCTGCCAACAGGCTTGTGCAACGTCAAACAGAACCTTGCCGAATTCGGTGCATCGAAGAAAAGCATCCGATACAGGATCAGAGCCAAAAGCAGCGCATTCCATCCTGCAGCAACAAAAAAAAAAAGTTTGTTTTGTGGACGGACCACAGTGCCCCCTGAACTGGAAACTATTCGCCAAATTCATCCGGGAGCTGCGTGCAAGGACACCACGCATGACAGCGTGCGACTCTAGGCTCATGAGGGCGCAATTCAAGGGTTCGCCATCGTAGTGGTGCCGATTTATGAAGCGGAAGGGCTTTGCACTGAGGCCTGTGCCAGAAACTGCTCGAAGATTTCGATAACGAGCTGGTCCAGTATCAGCGCTTCGTCATAGGGCTTCGTCAACGACATTGCTACATGATGGGACACATAGGCAATGCTAAAGAAACTCCGATCTGGTTTGATATGCCCTCGAACCAGACTGTGACTGCTAAAGGATCGAAGCAAGTGAAGCTCTTGAAAATGGGCAACGAGCATTCGCAACTTACAGTGATGCTTGCATGCACAGCCAATGGAAAGAAGCTGCCCCCTTATATAATATTCAAGAAAAAAGGGCTACCAAAGGAAGACTCTCCCCCGAATGTTACCGTGAGAGCGAACGAAAAAGGCTTCATGAATGAGTCCCTCATGCTTGAGTGGAACCGGCTTGTGTGGAATTGGCGACCCGGTGCGTTTTTTCAGCGACCGAGCTTGCTGGTGCTCAACTCATTTCGAGACCACCTAACAGCCGATGTAAAGGGCAATGCAATGGCAAGACGGACCTTGTCGTAATCCTTGGGGGACTAAGGTCTATTCTCCAGCCACTGAATGTAGAGCTCAATAAACTTTTGAAAGACCACGTGTGCGAGCCCTACAATGAGTGGATGCCGGGCGACAATCCTAAGAGCTCGGCTGGCCGCCTACGACGTCCACTGCTCTCGAATGTTTGTGGCTGGGTATCGTCACCATAGAAATGTCTCCCAGAACAAATGATGCACAAGTCTTCCCGCAAATGCTGCATCAGTAGAGCATAGGATGGAACGGAGGACGATGCACTCTGGGATGCAACTAGTGAGAAACAGATGTCGTCAGACTCAAGTTCGGACAAGTCTGAATGACAGCACCTGTGGCCTTTTGACGTTTAGCTACATAAGATTAGAGTCGAAACAAAAAGAAACGTCACCACAGTGCAGCTGGTTGTGACGCGTATTTATCAAGGTAAGGGTGCACCGCAATACTTTGTGAGTTTTAAAAATTTCTTTTTTGGAGATTCAAACTTTGGGAGGTCGACCCATATTTCGGTTCTTACAGTAGATCCTAGCGAACACGAAAAAACCATAAAATATAGCCATAGATTCCAGCATTTTTTTTTGTGTTGTGAGTAGGGTTTATATTTTTAAATTGTATTTAAAAGTAAGCAAAACCGTCATGTGGTGCAGCCTAGCGGAAGAGATTTGAAGCTGGATTATGAAATATGGAGTCTCACTTTTCTGTACGTAGTCGTGCAGCCTGATGCTGTCATGCGTGCCAGTCCTCAAAATTAGAGTATGCATATTATTATCTAGGCCCGCTTAATGATGTGCTGCTTATGACGTAAGAAGAGTTACACAGTAAGAAGCAGTGCTGCTGTCGCGGCTGCCAGTGGACAAAGTCGAGCCACGGCCCATGCGTGCGGATTGCACACATGCAGGGTAAGCCACAGCACTCTAACACGAACCATTCTCACACTCACTGTTTGCAGCATATAAGTAGAAGACTTCATATTTGCTGTAGATATAAATACACTGAATACAAACGTTTTGCGGCATTTCCCACTTCGTCATTCTGTGATTAGATTCACTGACCGCTCTTCGTTCCGCTAAAAAGATGGCACCATACAAATTGATTGTTCTTTTTAATGCACGCAAACGGATGTTGAAAGGCTTAGGTAAACACTACTCTGCTTTTACTGGAAGATATCCTAAAAGAACATTTTCGGGAACACAGAGAGCTGCTTGCCTGATCCATTTCCAGCAGGGCACTGAATATCTTTGGTAGGCTGAACTGCACCACACCATATTTGTCTTCAGTCTTGGAAGCACACACCAGCAGGCACAGACCTGGGCATGTCAAAAGCGCACCTTAATCCTTCGTAGGTACACCATTTTTTTTTTTGATGCTATAAAAGCTGGTTGTGGTATATACATATAAGCTACAAAAAAATAGTATAAAACAATTTTTTTTTCAAAATCGAGCCAGTACTTTGCTCGAAAGTGGGACACATAGATTCACTGACTCTTCAAGGTTTCATCACACAATCGGACTACCGAGTATTAAGAACGAAACGGCCTTAACAATTGACACAGAAGAGCACTTCTGATGTTATGCAGTGAAGTGTTGTGTGCACCTCATTTCCAACAGCGGAACAGCATGTGCACATTCACCTTCATAGGGCTGTGGTCTGTTCCTGTAAAGCTTACTTCAGGCACCCAAACCATTTGAACCATTCTTTGCCAATTTTTGTTATTCCTTGTTCCACTGTCGAAATGGTCGAGTACTGACCATGCCTGAATGATAGTACGAACCTTCGATGGCCCAGATGAGAGGCTGGCAATCGGCAAACAGCTGCCTACTCTTGACATCAGGCAGCTCGGAGATGAAGTACGATGCCAAAGGATGGCTTTTCAAACCATCCAGCATCTGCGCCCATTCAGCAAAAAATTTGAAAAAGGAAAAACATGCACTGCAGGGCACACACACAAGTGGGAAACCGCTGTAATCCCCAGCAGCACTACTGAGGTTGCTTGACGTACAGTGAAACCATTGAAATGCAAATACTCCGTGCGACCCATTGAAACTTACATCATTGCATATACAATTACTAAAGCACAGGCAGAATCACAAAACTTACATAAGCAGGAATTTTAATGTGTTTGTTGGCTGTACATGCCGCGTCAGACGTGAGGCAATAGAAACCAGTTCAACCACCCTTACAAGACAAGTCTCTGAAACTGGCAATTATAAGGCCTGATGAAGGTGCACGTTGGGCGACCATCTGTCACCTAGCCTTTACACATCAGGTTAGCCACAAGTTTTTGCACACAGACTGCCACCAATTTTGTTGCTCCCTACTGCAACACCCCAGCACTGTTAAATTTTGCTGCCTAAACCAACCTCTGTTAGCTGCTTATCAGTGAGCAACACTTTCATGTTGCTATTTCATGGAAATAGGCTTAGGAGTCCTCCGCAACTATTTTTTCCCAGTAATTTCACTCCGAAGTATACAAACAATACTGAATTTAATTTGCACTCAAACTTCAATAATCAGATTCAGTTTACACTCAAAATCCTGCTATTCAGTTTACACTCAAAATCCTGCTATTCACACAGCTCCAGTTATTGAGACGCCCATTGTACAAGCGAAAAGTATTTATGAAACTGCGGTCTAACCAAGATTCACAGCATGTCGCTACCATTGTCCAGTAGCCTGAAATTGTATAAAAGCCACTGCTTATTGTATAGTGGCGTATCTAACAAGCAAACACTCCCTGATGAGCAGCCATTTGATCTTGCTGGTATTACTTACCCATCTTACTACTGACACTTTTGGCTGAGGTGGCGGCGGCTGGACCTGGTTCATGATTTGCAGAGGGTCAGCTGTACAGAAGACAGAACAATAACTTCAGCATGCAGGTTACATGACCAGCGTAGTACTTTCTTGCACTTTGTGTGCTATGAGAAATGAAATTATAATAGTGCGAGCTTTACGTCCCAAAACCATAATATGATTATGAGGGATTCCGTAATGTAGGGCTCGAAAATTTCAAACAACTGGGGTTTTTCTAAACTGACAATAAAGAGAAAAAATTTTTGTTCGTATTAGCAAATTACTCTCTCACGATAACGAGCATCCTCTCGCCTGCTGCAAGAAGATGCTTGGCAAGCACGAAAGAGCGTTCAAAGAAAATGCATCTGGCAATGCAAACTTGAAGTTCGCACATCTAACACCGTGACGGAATCTACTCAGAGGCTGGCCAGAGACATAACATACCGATTTTCAGACAATTTTATCAACTCAATGCCGCAAGAACACTAAAGTCTTCTTGAAGTCGTGACAACACGCACAGAGATTTGCCACAAAATTTTGAAGTGATACTATGGCCTTGCTTAGCTCTGCTACTTAGCTCCACACCTATGGTGGTGCAATTAACAAAAATAGAGTTCTCAGAGAGCAATTTTTCAATCTAAATCAATTCACTGCTTCACTTCAGTGTCCCTTCTAGATTTCCTATTTGCATTTCAATTTACGCTGAAGGAACACCTCAGATGAGGCCCAGAATGTAAACCAGCAAGCTTTCATTTTGCTGAATATTCTAAAGAATAAACAAACAAAGAAAAAAAAGTCGAGCTTTGAGACAGGTGGCCCTAAGACGTCTATCTTTCCATGTTCCTACCTTAAACAGAAGGAGTTACCACTATACAGGAGAAGCAATTCCTCCAGAGTTCACAAAACTAAATTTAAAAAAAACAACTATAAAGGTAGATGAAGACTGACTTACGGGGTGGTGTAGCCAGTGAGAGAGGCCGCATACGCAGAAATGAAGCACCCTCAGTTGTTCTTGAAGCTGCAACATCACAGTCATCCAAACATCAAATACACATACAATACCTCGAGCGATATTTATAATATCTGGAGTTTTTGAGGCACCAAAATCGTGATATAATTACAAAAGACGCCATACTGGAGGAACGCCACAGTCAAATTTTAACCTAAACTGCAAATTCTACCAACTTTTTTATATTCCAACTTGACCGATTCTGAAATTTGTAATGCCACACCTAGGCGTACAGGCACTAGTGTTATCACTAGGCTTATTCGAATACTTGAATTACTAATGCAGTATTCAAATTTGCTTTAAATAAAATTTAAGCTATTAGAAATTTCTAATTATTCAAAACGCACAAATAAGTTTATATTAGTCCACATGTAACGTCTTGTAAAGGTGTTTTCACTGCAGTGGAGGGGTGCTAAGCTGTAAAAGCACTTATTTAACGTATACTAGTTTGCATGTAACCTTCTCTATATGTGGTTTCACTGCAGCAAAATTATGCAAAGCCGTGAAAACACATATCCAAGAGAAAGCCGAAGTGCAGCGAAGCTCCACTTTAAGTTTAAATGAAGGTACTACACTAACATTAATTTTCATGTTTAAAATCTTGTTATACCGACTTATTTACTAGTGCAAATTTTGAAACATAAAATATTTCACAGGCTGTCGCTCGAACCCCACCAAAAGCCAAATCCAGCTACTATTCAAAGTTGTTTCCACTTCCTTTGACACAAAAACACCACACCTGCACAGGCCTCGTTTTAGTTTAAAAACATATTGGGCAGGCTGGATAGGTCATGACAAACATGCCCATTTTTTTTTATATGCAATATATATACTCTTCGAATTCAATTACAAATTATTCGACCAAAATTACTACTCACTTCGAATTTACTTCGTACCTGAAATTCCCTATTCGCACAAGCCTAGTTATAACAAGATGTTTGAGACAGTAACGCTTGATTTCAGCTCACTCTTGTAGCAATCAGCATGGTGCAACAGTTTTCAAAGGTAGAGAATTTAAAAGAATACATTTTACTGCAAGCAGAGTTTCTCATGATAGCACTCACCTTGAGGTGTGGCAGCCTGGGGGTTAGGAGGTTGCGGCGGTGGCGGCATATCCACTTGCCCCAGGGCATGGCAAAATTGACGCACGAGCACCAGGCATGCTTCACACAGAGCACCCCAGTGCAGCGGGTGGAAGCCTGTGAAAACATCGACCAGGGTCACTGTGCAAGCTTTTTAGATCAGGACAGCTGTGAGACGTGATCTACCAGATAAAGTAACAACACTACGCACCCATCAGTCTCATGACTGCTGTGGATTCTATCAGCAGGACAACGCAACTAAAAAGGCACTGCCATGGCGACCAATGCTTTGCGGGAAATCTTACACCTACAATTCGTTACAAGCTCCGCCGGCGAAACCACAGCACAGTTGTCAATCACCCAAGGATGAAGATTTCTCACGAGTAAGAGCCCTTGGGAACTAAAAAGACGAAGACGGGCTCAAATTGGCAAGAGTGCACACCTGGAAGATTCCAGAAAGAGGCACGTGAACCGAGCCATGAAGGAAGGTGAAGAGAAGTATTTGTGGCATTGTCTACACAAGCAAGGCAAGAGAAGATTGTCTTGCCAGAAGGCGCACTTGTGATGGGGAGCGGCAGGACTGACTCTACATAGACAATGCTTGTGTGACACGCCTCTATCATTATTTGATAATGAGCATGAATTGCTGCGTGCAGTCTTGTAACCAGTTTGATTGTGACCATGTGACCACTTTTACTTGCACATGTCAGCTTTATGAGTACATAAGGGTGACGGTAGATAAATGTTAATAATAATAATAATAATAATAATCAGAAATTTTATGTCCCAAAACCAAGATACGATTTGAGAGACGCCATAGTGGAGGGCTCCGGAAAATATTGACCATCTGGTGTTCTGTAATACGCACTGACATTGCACAGTACATGAGTCTCTACCATTTTGCCTTCAGATAAATACACCCAAACCCTATTATAACGCAATTGCATCTTACACAAGAATAAGTTCGCTATATACGAAAATTCGTTGTAATGGTTTATTCCTAACACTATACCTATTACAAGACTATTTTCACTTTCGTCGTTATAACCGATATTTCATAATACCCAGATTCGTTATATTGAGGTTTGAATGTAATTGTTAATTGAAAGTTTCATGCTTGTCCACGTTCATTCTTTCCGGGCTTCTGTCATGTTTAACTGCACACAGCAGTTTTACCCTTCATGTATTTATCTCATATGAGAGTGCTTAGGGATCCTCTGCAACTCTTTTTCTGTAACTTCACTTCGAAGTAATAGACAAATATTAAACAAATATATGAGACAACTATTCGAAAAATATTCTATTCAATTTGCACTCAAGCTTGAATATTCGAATTTGCTTTGCACCCCAAATTTCGCTATTCGCATAGCTCTAATTTAAACTTAGGTTGTAGCAGACTATAGTTAGCAAACGAGGCCATGGCCCGCCAGCAGTTAAAGCTGGAAACTCATGCTGCGTATCTCGAGAGCAAAAAAACTAAACGTGCAGCAAACGGCGGAGTCGCTCAACATTTACCAATACAATGTTCTTGTCACACACTAAAACTCTTTACAGCAGAGGCCTTTCACAATATTGGGAAGTCTAATGAAAAGGCACTGCCTCACAGACACACAGCACCGACAACCTCTTTTCAGTTTTATTCCATACACGTTATCAAAACCATGGCGCTAGCATTGAATGCCAAGCCAAGCCAGCCAAAATAAAACTAGGCATCTCGATATGATAAAGCCAAACTGTATTGAGTCCACGCATCCGCACACAATCCTCACGTCCGTGTGCAACACACTAAGCGTCTTCACATGATATCACCAGCCCATTGGACCTGCTTACAAGATTACACAAGAAAATATGCTCTGAAGGGCTTATTAAGTCTTGGAGATTGTTTTAATGATGGGCCTAGGTGACAGAAAAACAAATATTTGCTCTTTTGGTTCTAATTAATTTATTACTGCTGGTGCACAGTAGTTTCGCAGCTCCTCTTTTGCATGAAAAAGATACACGAAGCCCATTTGCAGACTGTTTATGTAGAGGAGATCACCCTCCTTCGTGTGCCTTTCGGCAAAATCTTCTTTGGAAGAAGTCTCCTCACTCAAAATATTAAAAGTGCCCATGTGACAAACGTATAAGTGAATGTGTAGGCATACCGGGCGAGCTGACTGCGAAGACCTGTGCTCGGCGAGCGGGAGAGTGCTCGGCAAGTTGCCGGAAGTCCTGGAAGCTCAGGTACTGCAAAGGTTGCAAGTACATGAGTACTCAAGAGTAAAGAATTAAAAAAAGCACAAAAGGCAGGTTTCATCCAACTTGCGCAAAATTATGGCCCGCTTTCTTTGCCTGGAAAGCCTGTAACTGCGTGTGGGCCTTTAAAAAGAATTTTGGTGCAACAGTAAACAAATTTAACATATAAAACATGGTAACAAAAAGTACAAAAAGAAACGGCAAAAGTAATTTATTAGTAGTTATACTTTGTACAAATACTCTACTCTAAATTCAATATAAAAAAGTGAAATGCCAGATTACTGACTTCATTAAAAAGAGGTTAAATACCGTATTTACTCGTGTAATGAACATATTTCTTTCTTTCGAGAAATCAGAGCGAAATGGAGGGTGCGTTTAATTATGCGGGGCAAATTTTATGAAAACTTTTTTGGGATGAGCAAAAAGTGTGGTAATGCAAAAAAAAATGTTAGTGTACACTGTTTGGAAGCAGCCTCTTTGTTGCACATCAATCATCTTCAATGGTTGAAGGCTCTATCTTTTGCAAGCTGTCCCCACACCGCCCGCGCACGCCATGAAAGCATTTCATGGCTCTCTTTTCTCGCAGTCGTTTAACCGCAACAGCGGTATCTGGTGTGATCTTGAGGGATGCGCAGGAGCATGCGCTATGATGCACTTTGCCAACTTTGTGGCAACGTCGCACGACAAAGAGTTAATATACTGATAATTTAACTATGTTGGATGACGGCCACGACGACGCTGTTGACATTGTAGCAAGTGACAAACATTGCAGCAAGCTACCACCGAAGCATCAAAACAAACCGTTGATAACAAAATTAAATACAAAATACGGCCACCGCCTAGCTGTCCACATGAGAAGTTACTGAAGAAAAGGTAGCCTATATCTTGCGTTCCTTGAAGTACGTCCAGATAACAAGCACACAGAACAAATTGCAATCGAAGTGAGAATTGGGGGTGCTACCATGTTGCGAAATAGTCACGATCTTTTCTGAGCAAAAAATGATTATTTTTTTTTTTGTTTGTTTTACAGAAACCTGCGACGCAATGGCGATAAATGGCCCTTCGCGGCTGCCATGGCGACAGCAAATCCTGTCGTCTTCACTAGAAAATTGCGTGCATGTGGTTGGAGTTTAAAGTTTCATATTTGCAGGATGCACTCGTCGGTTGGCAAGGGGCTGTTTCGTGGCCTTCGCTTGCTGTGTGCTTCTCAGCTGCAATGTCTCTACACTCGCACCGTTTGTGAGCACCGCTATGGCAAACAGATAATTAAAAACACTGGGGCACACATAGATAATTAAAAAGCAATACGGCACGTGGCAACAGGCGAAGGGGAAGATAGAGCAAGCCGAGGTGGCCAAGAGGGGTCAGCATAATAATAAAAAATGGAAGAGATCCAATGGGCAAGGAGGCACCATGTTTCGTTTAGCAGAACTGCAGCGGATGAATGTAGGGAGTGCTTTTATAATGCAAGAAAAAACAAACAAAATTTGACGACTGAAGTTAGGGGTGCATTTATTGTGCAAGTGCATTCATTACGCAAGTAAATACGGTAGTCCTTCAGACTAAACAGACTAGGTCAGAGACCTGTTCTACCCGATATTAGGTCAAAGCTTATTGAACGAGTATACACCAGTTTTTAAGGCAGTGTTCTTTCTTTTGTGCAACAAAAGGTTTACTAGCAATGTATACCATCATATCACAATAACGTGGGAACTACCACAGAAACAATTTTCCACAACTTTCCAATCTACTGTGAGGGTCAAGTCGTATGTTCAAAACCAATATTACCACTTCCGCGGCACTCTCTCATTCCCACTGACTTTAGTGCAGGTTAGGAAAACATGCATTGCAGTCGATCCCACTTACAACAATCCCAGACATAACGATCAATCAGTTAATAACGACATTATCTAGGTGAACTTGCGATTTTCCCAAGTTATCCATTGAAACTGTTCCTATATAGCGGACATTTTTTTTTTTTAAACGATATTTACAATAATTGCAACTAGCCAGGGATGATTGGCTACACCTAGTGGTACCGCACTTCAGTAAAACTGCGTCAGTTCATCGCAAAGGCATTTTAATTCACTCGTAAGCATGCAGCGGGTGTTGCTTCATGACTTGAAAAGGCTTAACGATTATTAATGAAGTGGTTGTTAATAGTTTAATAAAAATGGGCAAAAAAATATCGTCTCAGTTGCTGAAGTGCAAGCGATTAACGGCGAGTCCACGTACGGCGAACTAAACTTAAACCTCGAAATAGCAAACCTGAATATAATGAAATATTGAATATAACGAAGTAAAAAAGGATAGTATTGCAGTAGATGTATTGCTATGAATATAGGTACCTTCGTAACAAATTTTTGGATATAACAAACTTATTATTGTGTAAGATCCAACTTGGCTATAATGGGGTTCAACTGCATTGATATAATCACCACATTTTGCGACACTTTTGAATTTGTTATAAATGGGTTCGACTATGCAATGGAATGTCACCTGTCGTATGTGTATTGGCCAACAAATGCGTAAAATAAGAGTAGGCCAAAACGGCTCTGAGCTCTTCCTTGCTGACCTCCTCCATATGGCCAGACCAGTAGCACCAACAAACCTCACTGGAAGCTGCGTTGGCGACTATCACAGCAATTACACGATAATACTGGCATATTGACGAGATTGACGAGACATTTCAGTAGTCGTTTCGTGTAGTTCCAGCACCCGATTGCCCTCTGAACCTAACAGGTAGATTGGAAAGCTATGCATACTCTCATAAACATGCATGCATATGATTGATTTGCCATTCCACTCATCACAAAGGCAGTGCCACTTGAAAGCAAGAACATTTTTTTACCCTCGTAATGGTATAGAATAAAGTGCAATTGCCTTTACAATATAATGACTGCAATCTGAAGTACTACATACCTGCCAATAAATAAAATCCAACCCCAAAGTATTTTGTATGCCACCATTACGCCTTACTGGGGCTTCTTACAAGATAATACAATGTAGTTTTGTATCTCCCAACTTTTCCTGGCATTTCGAAGATGTTAGTAGTACCAGTTAAACTGTGAACAGTTATTTTTTAACTTTTATCAGCATCTTGCAACAAATTCTGGGGTTATCAGTCCCTGTAACGAGTTTTTCGGAACCGCTGCGGTCCCAAGCTGCTTCTATCCCTCGCAAAATTACTGTTATATCAGTGTCGCAAACCTGAACAAAAGCACAGCCACGTGATGCCATAGCCGTGGACAGCTGCAAGGGCCTCTCTGCTTCGAACTGAACTGCAACAGGAAATTGGTAGCCCTGCCAAGAGAGAAAGAAGTTGTAGCGCAGGCAAATGCTCAAAAGAAACAAAAAATTAGTGACAGTTAACACTGATACAGTGTGTATAGCGTTGGTAAACAAAAATCGCTTGAAATAAATTGTTGCTTGAACAGAAAAACTTGTTTTATTTAATCTGTTCAGTATTTGACTGCTGTGCTACCATAGCAGAAGTTAGATACTATTTCACTCTGTGGCGATCCCTCTGTGTCTCCTGCTGCAGTGGCATCTGATTGAAAGCGTTCTCGGTGTTCTTTTTTTCTTTCCACGTTGTGGGTGGGCACAGAGAGGGGCCACTTTTTTTCCATGCGCGTCGTGCAGTTTTCAAATTGAGAGAAAATGTACGGGAGTTGTGTAATAGAAAACACTCAAGCTTCTCCAAGATCTGTATAGCACCAACAATGAAATGGCTCGCCGTTACTATACCGGCGCAAGCATGGCGCATGGCAGAGTTGTCCATGACGGCACACTGCAAAGCAAGGGATCACTCGTTCAAATCCCTATTCTGGTGCTTCAGAACTTCCTTCCAATCTATTTTTCTTTGCGCCCTTAACATACATAATCATATACGAGACATGATGGCGATAGCAAAAATCTGGTTCATATAATTTCTGTCGTACTAAAAGAACATCTGCCCAATATTCCACAATGACGTCAATACACGCGCATACACAGATGGAAGTTTAACATGGAACAAAGCAGGGCAAGGAATGAAAGTGTGCACACCTTAGTGAGACAGTAGTCTCGCATCAGTACAGCCAGGTGGTCCACGGTTCTTAGGGCAGCGCCAGTGACCACCAGTGCCCAGAAGAGTCGCAGGTTAATTAGACCCCACACTGTCTGCAGATCACCAACCCTATAGGCAGCAGCAGCCATTATGTTTCAAACGCATTAGCACGACATAAAAGCAGTCATATGTCACCAACACGATTCTGTGCAGCAGTATGCACCCATGCATAGATACAATAACCATTGAACGTACCATTGAAGGTACCATTGAAGATACTTGGCTAGCGACACAGTTTCAAAGGAAACTACAAATGAACAAATACCTCTTTCTAGCAACGAGCCTGCGCTGTATAGAATTACTGCTGAAAAGGCCTGTGTTAAGGGCACCCTGAAACAGTTTTGATTATGTACAAACACACTGGGCCAGTAAACCAAGTCCTAAGGGTCATTTACAGACCGATTTGAGCCCTCTGCGTAATTTACAATGCTTTAATTAAAGCTGAAAAGCGCCGCACATCACTGCAACTCAGCCACCAAACGTGTTTACAACTGCGCATTCACAGAACGACGTGCTCTGGTACATCACCCGGGCTGCTGATCTGATTGTCAGTGGAATGCACAAGCAAGATCAGCTGGTGGGGTGGAGACACATGTCAGAGCAAATTTCAACCACTCCGCGATCTTCGTCTTTCTTGATAAACGACGTGCATGCTGCTAGGTGAGCTGTATGGTGGCCTCCGAGATTGCACGCAACCTGTAGGCATGCATTCTTGGAGGTCTAGACTGGGAGAAGCTCAAATCGTAACGTGTGCTCATAAGAGCTCTGTGATAGCTCCCAATGCCAGCGGGTGGAGGAGGCACGGCTGGGGTGAGAAGGAGGGTATAACTGCCTATAGCGGCCTTGATACACGATGTGTCACTAAATTTGTGGTGCGAACGGTTTGGTGATGCTCTAGCCTAAATGATGACAGAAATTCAAAAAAACTACTTCAGAGTCCCTTTAAGAAAACTATAATTTCTATTGTGTACTGGTCAACCATTTTTCTGGCAGGCCTTCCTGCTACTTTGTCGCTTGTCTTTGTAGTACACATGACCGTTATTACAGGTATTTATTACTTCTTTCAGAGGTGAAATAAGTGAAATAGAGCAGTTCTTGGAGCAGCAATATTTCATTTTGGAGCAGAAGAAACTTGATTTGGAGCAGTCAGCAGCACTTATTATATCATATTAGGAGCTTGAAAAACAAATATGTAGCTTCATGTCGGGAGGGGGGGGAGGGGGGCAAAGTATATATTTTAATATGTTTATAATACATATAACACTAAAACAGCTTTTCGAGAAAGTTTCTTTTTTTACAAATTATCACTGGATATGAACTACACTGCCTTTTCACATATCACGTGACTTATCTAACGCGAACAAGAAAGAACAAATGAAACAATAGAGAAAATGTTCTACAAACGGTTTATGTCATACATTAAAAAAAAGGAATAAAAAGATCTCATATACACTTATCTAAAATAACAAAAAAATGTGATAGCACAAGATTTGCAGTTACACAGCAGAAGGCCTTTGCTTAAGATCGATGATATGATTTAGCTGATTGCTGCTTTGGTCTTTCGTAGGTTTCCCAGAGATTCCTGTCGGTTAGTGCCACTCTTTGTCAGGAGAGCGTCCCAATAGGTTGATTGATTGATTTGTGGGGTTTAACGTCCCGAAACCACCATTTGATTATGAGAGGCGCCGTAGTGGAGGGCTCCGGAAATTTCCACCACCTGGGGTTCTTTAACGTGCACCCAAATCTGAGTACACGGGCCTACAACACTTCCGCCTCCATCGGAAACGCAGCCGCCGCAGCCGGGAATCGAACCCGCGACCTGCGGGTCAGCAGCCGAGTACCTTAGCCACTACACCACCGTGGCGGGGCAGCGTCCCAATAGGTGCCTTCAACTTTCTGCTTGGCCGCGTGATTGGTGTCGTGTCAAGTGTAATGCACACTTGTAACAGGCAACAAAAGCGCGCTGCTCTACCCATTCGCTGCCACCTCGTGTGGGACCGCCTTCAAAAGTGTGATGCAAGTGCCAAGAAGCCCCACCACACTATTTCATCAAACACACGCAACCTGTACTGCACACATTTATTAGGTGGTGACACGAAACTATCTTCGCAGCAGTCCGCTCTTAGCCTTCTTGAACAAAACCACTGGAGCACTGCAGAGATGTGCCGCTGTTTGTGGTATTTTATTTTTAGCATGATGTGTGGAATAAAGAACATCATTTGTTTCTTGTGTTCAGGCATAATTGATAATTTTATTAAGACCGCGACATCAACATGCAATATTGCTGCTTACACATTTGCCTGTTCGCATGGTACCACCTCGCTATATCATTCCTGCCCAAATTACCAACCACCGAATTGTGATTGGGAGCCGAGGAAATTGAAGAAGCTAAATATTGACCTGCACCACTCGGAGCTCACATACCCAAGTTTTTGCACGTACACATGTCAATAATGCAACGAAAAATTGCCCAGTACTGTTGCTAGCACTACACACTTTCATGAAACACCTCGAAACCTACCACAACTTAAACCTTGCCAAAATGAGTGATCAGGAAAGTTGGCGATTCATGATGGTTAAGAAACTTTCATTTGTCAGTATATATTCCACAGCTTTCCGATTAAACTTTCAGTTGGTTAGTAAGCGCTTGTCCTTGTCTTAGCTGCCCCTGTCCACGTATCGCACTCGTATTTCAAACCATCATTAAATTTTGTACATGAGAGCTGTGCTGCATGATCTCTGAGGCTGTGCTTTGCAACATAACCGACAGCGTACTGCACATTTTGTCACTGAAATGCACAACGTGCCACATATTGCAAATACAGATTTCCAGCTGTGTATAAAAAAGAAATTGAGAAAAGCGATAATGATCCACAAGGTGTTTAAAACTACGAATATGCTTGTGCGAATATAGTCAAATCCCACAATAACGAATTTCGCTACAACGGTATTTTCGCCACAACGAATTATTTTTGATTCCCTGTCAGCCGGCTACAGAAAATAAGGTTAAAAATGTCTCGTCGCAACGAATACTTTTCCTGGATATTTCCGCTTTAACAAAGTTTTCGCGACTACTACCCCATAAGAAAAAGGAACTTTCCAAATTCCGATACCAGCTCCGAACATTTCTCAGTGGCTCATGACTTACAGAGTGCACAGCTCTATCGAAACAACCGTGTTTTCATCAGATACACGTTTTCTGCCACCACACGCACATCTCACTAAATTCATCGCCATTGAGATGCTCAGCGACAGCTTGCCCATAGACTATGATGCTGATGGTAGATTTGATATATGTGCGGGCCGTGGCAAAATCGCGATCTCCAAGAAGCCTCATGTTTATGACGTCTCACTCAAAACTAAGCTACCACTCGTCGTCACTAGCCCTGCGAACGTGAATAACAACCACGCAACGTGAAGGCGCACGCGCGAGCAGCGTGCACCTAGTCCCAGCATAACTGCATTCTGCCACAACCGCTGCGAACACAAATGCAGTCGTGTCGAACGCTATCGTTGGCGATTATGAAAGTATATGCACAATACACGTGCACCGACTCAACCCGTAACGATGTGAACAAAAATAACAATGACACATTTTTTGAATGAAATCCATGGCTAGTGCAGCGCACGCAGATTGAAAACGGGACTAGTGTTTGCCTCAACCGTTGTCCAGGAAACTGCGGTCACTATCGTCATGTTCATGGATAGCGAATACCATCTGAAGGTGTGCAGCTAACACAGCCATAGATTAAAGGCAATAAAGCCATAAAACAACACAAAGTGTTACGGCTTTCCTGTCGTTCACTTATGGCTACGGTAGTGTTGAACGTTCCCACTTTCAGTTGCAATTATCAGTTGGCCCCTAGCGAAACTTTGGCACGCTCGTTCGCGGCGCTGAGCACTCGGCACACCTCATCTGAATATCGTATTTTCTTCTGTTTAACCCACCCCTGCATATAACCGGGACCCACGACCGCAAACCGCGGGAGGAAAAAAAAACTACCCGCGTTTGATGCAAGACCGCCTTCTCTGCATTGCCGTCAAGCCATGCGGTGAAGCCAGCTTGCGTGCCAAAATTTTTGTATAACTTGCGCCCTGACTTCAGTTACAAACTTCCTGTATATTTTGATCACATTATACACGAGAAAATATGTTCACTCAGTGTTAGGCCAGCTACATCTGGGTTAGCGATAGTTCAATGCATGCAGCAGAGGGGTAAACTAAATGAAAGAAACCTCACCATATGGTTGGCTCCATGTCACCATAAATCCAATACTTGAGAAAGGAACCTTTGAAAATGAGAAATAACGGATCATTATTCAGTGTATCAATGTTTCAGCATGCAGCAGGCAATGTAGAAAGTTTCGTACAAACACTGCAAGAGAGAAATCTGCAGTCACCTCATGGTTCAACCACCACAAGCATCGTGAAAAGCACACAAATTTGTTTACAAGTTCACTTGCAGCTGGCAAAAAAGCATGCTATAGTTTCCCTTCATTTAAATTCAGTAACATACTTGAAACATGCAATCAATTTTATTTTGCATTCTCGAAAGCATAACGAAATAACGTTTTTTTAACTACGTTCTGCCGCAATAGATACAGAAGTTGATTGGCATGTGGGGATTAATGTCCCAAAACCATCACATGATTGTGAGAGACAATGAAGTTTGTTGTGTCAATAGGAACATCCACCTTTTCACAGAGACATAGGTATGCATACAGAAATGCATTCTTGTTTTGCTACAACACACGAAATGCAATCTCCCAATAACATGCACATTTTTTCTACCATTAAATGCTATGCAACTTGAGAACAGTGATCTGTAGGAATTCGCGTTGCAGAGACAAGTAAGCGAAGAGCACTTGCAAGGTGTACCTTTCCAGAGAATACTATTGGTACTACTATACTGTTTATTACCAATACAGTAAACTCTCTTTAAACAAAACCTGAAGGTAGCAGGAAAGTATGCTCTATTACAAAGAAATGGGCAGGGGTGAAGAATCAAAGTACGAAACCAATCATGTTGTAGGCAGTATTTCCATTTAAGCGGCAATCTCATTTAAGCGATTTCCATTCACCGAGAGCCTACTGTGTTAGCAAAACAATAAAAAAATAAGCGTGTAAAAAGCACTGTAAAGTTTGGCAATGGGCTCTTTTCACATAAGTAACACTGCAGCTGGCCACACATTCAGGCGTGATAATGGAGCCTAGTCGCATGATAAGTTAAATGCTAGGGTATTAGGTTCGAAGACCATGACATGATTATGAGGCACACTATACCGGGAGACGCCGAATTGGTTTTTACGATGGTGGATTCTTTAACGTGTACCTAAATGGGCGTTTTTGCATTTTGCAACCTTCGAAACGTGGCTGCCGAAGCTGGGAATTGAACTTGTGCCACAAGGCTTAGCAGTGCTGCACGTTCATTACTAAAGCTAGCTAATATGGCAAGTTAGACACTAGGTGGCATTACTTAGCCAAAATAATCGCACACGAATTTCATAAACCTACTATGTACAGCAATGCAAAAGTAGAAAATGGGGAAAGTTGGTATGAATGTATAATAGAAAATTTCTTAGACACACAAAACAGAAAAGGGCGTGAGACAAGACACACTTTTTTGTCTTTTTTTCTTCATGCCCTAACCTGTTGTGTGCCTGCAGAGAAATTTTCCATAATGAACGTACTGGAAACCACTGTACAAATAAGGTGCTACACTAGGCTGTTATTGTCATGCTCCAATTGTGCAATAGTGAGTGATCTTCAATAAGGTTACTAGAGCACAGAGAATTATTTCAAACCAGAAGAATAAAGTTTTGAAAGGCGCATGTTCCTCCCTCTATTGATGCCATGCAAGTCCCAAGCCCTACAGAAAAAAACCCGCATACGTATATTCTAGTCCTGCATTTTTCTTTACAATTGTAGCTTTGAAACGCTGTGTTGACATAATTTACAATATTCACCTAGAAAAAAGAAGAGCAGGTAATAGATGTAGGCATGCCTCATGGTCTCCCAGGCAGCTCTGCGCACAGTGGAGCTGATGGGGAGGTGCTTTCTCAGCGATACCACCTGGAAAGGAGATTCCAACCATTTGCAGAATGTTATAGCAGCAACAGTGCCAGCTTCAAGATAACATTACTTGAGGGCAAGGTTAACTCCAGAAAATTCCATGTAAATCCATAAAAAAAGGGAAAAAAAGAGAGAAAAAAACATTATGCAGCATACCACAAGCTGAGATTACTTCCACTTAGTCAAAACCATGCAAAGAAAATTCCAACTTCTATTACCATGAAACTGTACACCACAAGCTTTATGGCTACTAACACAGATGCACATATAGTTTGGTACAAGCCGAGCACTCCGGCGACAACTGATGCACTATCATAGCTTGGAGGTGGCATGTTTAACAGACACATCCCCCCCCTCGACAGAACTCAGTCGCATGTCTGCTGCAATATTGGAAGTGGGCTTAAGTGTTCTGGAGCAGCTCATAGAGCAGGAATAATATTGCTGTTTTGGAGCAGCTTTGGTGCAGTAAAAGGGGAGTTTCAAAGCAGGTTCGGAGCACCAAACACGTGTTTTGAAGAAATGCTACTTAGTTTTAGAGCAGCTATCTAGGGCCAAACATCATCGTTATTTAAATTAATTCTTGTTATGAAATTCTAATGGTTCCCTAAATATTCAGTACTAATGAGTTTACCAGACTTACCACACACAAAAGTGTGTGCGTGTGTTCCCATCATTTAACATCGCAGCTGACGGAGAAACAACTCAGAAAACAAGGAATGAGTGATGCTTATCTCTTCTTTTCATGACTGCTATACAGTTTAACATCTTTACAATGGATCTGCTTACAACAGACATTCGGATACTACATACTTTTGGCATCGTTATGCCAACCTCTCTATCTGTTCCATTTATTGAGCTCCGGTTCATACGTAGTCTGGCACGATGGACATTCTGATATAATTGACTAAAATGTGAGGCCAGCAAGGTGGTCAGGACACCTTTACAGCAGACTTTTCTCCCACGGACATCACAAATTCAATAACTTCTCGACTTCAAAGATCACTTCGCATACGGTACGGGAACAGAGCGACGTGGATATCAGCATACTGATTTAAGGACGAAGGCTGCCCATATCTGGTCTCATCAGTTATGCCTAGCTACGGCAACAAAAAACCTGCACACAGTATGCTTTGCGTTTCGGGGCGCTGACGCGCAAAGCCACTGCCTCCGCACTCCCCTCCGAGCGGTCCCTGCATGGCAAGCTTGGTCGGGGGGTCCGCTGGTAATGCTCAAAATATCCATTTGTGGTTCATAGGAGCCTGTGGGCCATCACTTTCTACGAAAGAGATCACGGCTTATTCGCTGTTACACGTCCGGTAGTGCGATGGTCTTGCTCACAAAGTTCGAAGCGAGTTCGGCCTAGCCCCGACTTCAAGCAGAAAGCTTGGTTACGATGTGCATGGCTGCGGTGCCTGATGTTTCAAAGTGCACCAGGATCGATCGCGAGTGTAAAGAGTTCTTCCATGGTAGTATTCACCACAAGGGCCAAAGTGCTCACAAGCAGCACATCGAACAGCGAGTCTAATGAGACAATGCTTATTGCAGTGAGCGAGACGCGTGTCTGCGATCTTTGCGACGAGTGTGGCATGTTATCATAGTCTGATAACTGAACAACTGAACTTCCACTTGCAGCTTCCCTAACTTAATGCTACCCGTGAACACAGAACGAGTGTGAAAACATTTACAAGTAGCGAGATTTTCGATGGTTATGCCGTTTTGGAGCTTTAATGTTTTTGAAAAATGCAGTTTTTCTTGTGCATCTTCCACAATGACTTGATTAGTTGGCAGATGCAAGAATTTTTCACAGCACTTTTGCATACTATTTAGTGTGAACGTATTCTGGAATCAGATAGAAAAAAGGCTATTGAAACTGAAAGTGGTGTTTAAAAATCAACTTTTTTTTACATCGCCCCATTATAAATAAATTTGTTCATGACTTGTAATTCTCTCCAGTTATAACAGACTATCAGTGCTATCATAATCTGAAACTGAACAATTTAACTTCTACTTGCGGCTGCCCTAACTAAATGCAACCCATGAACACAGAACGAGTATGAAAACATATATAAGTAGTGCGGTTTTTAAAGGTTATGCTGTTTTGGAGCTTTAATATTTTTAATATAACATACAAGTTTGCTGTAAAGTACTTGGATTTCACATACTGCTTTTACAACAGACGGAAATTTTCTTCACTATGAAGGTCTGTTGTAACGAGGTTATACTGTACTTTGTTTCACACGTCAGGAGCAATGTAGCAGAAGCCATAGAAGAAGTTCGTTTAGCAAAATGTATCACTTAGCATGTATGGTAGCCCTTTTCGCCATTGTAAACACTTGCACGAGTTAAGCAGGTGCCTTCGCCTGACAATCATTCCTTATTTCTTTCAGAAAAGAAAGAAGATACTTTTTGGTAGATGATTTATGCAGCACCTGCTGTGGTACCGTATTTGTTTATTGGTGGCAATGACGCACATCAGGAGATGCACATTTGTACTTGCATGCACACTGCTGTTTAGTGCATGATCATGCCACATTCCCGGCTTGTACAAATCAATGAGGTTTCACTGCATTACTAGATAATTCACAGTTGCTTATGTTGGTGCCACCACTTTTGCGGGGACACCACAGTGATAACAACGATAAGATGAGCACTAGCGAGCCCCACGGATGACCCGAATTACAATGCGATCAAACTACACTTGATATGGATGCAGCAACATCTCTTGTATACAAAACTGTCACAGTTTTATGTTTCAAAGCCACGTTTTGATTATGAGAGACGCCGCAGAAAAAAGCTATGGAAATTCTGACCACCTGGGGTTCTTCAACAACCAACTGGTATTCGAGAGCTAGTGCAGCCAATGTAGCCAAAGCTGTGAAGCAAAATGGCGATCTGCTATGGTGTGACAGAAAAACTGGTCTCGAACTTACTTTTTTGCGTCAGCCTCGCGACATATCTTTAGTCTCTTAGGCGGCGAAGCGAGAAAAATTCCGGTGAGTTTGCCGCATTCACTCTCTTCGAGACCAAGTGCGAGCGGACCTTTTTTCCATAGACAACCTGCGTAGCGCCGCTACCGTGCAGCGGTCAATCGCACGTTCGTATAATCCGCGGTGGCTGGGGAAACCATTAGCATAACACCGAATCATTGCGCATTTTTTATAATGTAATTCATCAAAAGAAACCTTAAAATTCGTATCCTCGCGAAATTCGCATCAACCATAATCGTATCTTTGAGATTCTACTGTAATTGAACTGAAGAGAGGAAACTCCAAAAAGAAAGAAGTAAAAGTAGACCGAAAAAACAAAAAGGAAACTGCTGCCAATGAGAATAAAATCCCACAACCTTCGCATTATGTGGGAAGCACCAACCTGTATTGGTGGGAATGCAAGGCAGGACCCTTTGGCAGCCAGCTGGCTCAAGTGCAGGCTGATGGATGTGAATGCTCCGTGCAGCACCAAAAACACGTATGCGTCACTCATGCACTCCTCTAACCTGCACAAGCACAAATGCTTGAGCCCAACGTTTCTATCATCTGATCATGATGTCAGTCCTGTGCTCACTTTAAACAATTGGCATTGGTAAAAAGCACACTATGTGTGGCATGAAAAAGAGAGAAGCAAGCATGGCACTCCGTCATTTCTGCCCTAGCCATATATTTGGGCTTCGTGTATGACTGTATGACCAACTACAAAATGACAGGTTATCAGAGTCTCTATACTTGAGCAAGTCTCGACAGTGTAAATACATTAGGTACGTCCTACTTATCAGCACAATGCTGCAACTGTCTATTCAGCATACACACAACATTGTGTAGCCTCTACCAAAGAGATTCCGACAGTATTTTAAATTTTATTCGAGAGAATTCTGGCGCTGTGCTCGTTCTGCCACAATGGGGTTGACGAGTAGCGCACAAATTTGCCTTATCTTCGTGCTTGTGGCTTCGAATGGACTAGCGGTTTTGTTTAACGTTGAGTTTTAGCATTTCTTTCACATTAAGCAATGGATCACCGTGAACTTCGTGAGCCGATTTGGGTTACTAAGCCGAAAAGATTAAAGGAGTGAAGTGGAACTACTGAACTTTGCTTAACTTCGTGTTGCAACAAAATGGCTCAAGGCCACATAGATCCAAACAGGGCCTAAAGAAGGAAGCTTTGACAAATCCACGCTGGCTGGAGCACCATGCGTAGTCGCTCACAGACACTAGCACCAGAGTTCCGTCTAACGCATCAACAAACTATGGCCTCTGAATCTCCACTTCTCTGTCACAGTGCACACTTCCCACAGCATGTGATCATGTTTCAGTTCTGGATCGAAAGGTGTCACAGTCTTTAGGTGGCAGGTGCCAGGCTGCATTTAAATTAGCATGGAACATGAAATTAAGTGCAATAACCAAAAACTCTAACCTAATTGAACATGCTCTTTTATGAAGGGCACGATGACAGTGGGCTGGAAATGGCCGTTATGCTCTTGTTCGCACATCACAAATGTATTTTATATCACCACCTTTATTCCGTTGTCAAAGCTCACCCATTTGAGATTGTGCATAATTTAACATAAAAGTATGCATGCAAAAGACAACAACTGCTAGCATGCTTGTTTAATCACCATTCTCGTCTAGTCAGTTTAATAATTTTATCAAAACACCATTCACTTATTTCCCAAAATATTTCTTGTGTCTTTATTCTGCATTGTGTTCGATAAGCACTACTTAGGCGCAGCGAGGGGTACACAACAAAGTGACCCTAAGATAACAGCCACCAACATTCTGCCCTTACCGAAGTTTTTTTTGAAATAAAGCTGTCACATTGAACACTTTCTTTTAGTGTTGTCCGACCAATACGCTGAAATATTTCAGAATAAATCATCTACTCGTACCTGCTGTTTGAGTTCTTAATGCTCTTAAAAGTTTTTTTACGTGCTCACAGTAGCAGTGCAGGATAGGAGCAATAAATAACCAGTTATACAACACTATACACTAAGTTCATAGTTTCTTGGCTCAACGTCTTGGCATCGTCCACTGAAGTGATGAAGTTTGAAGATTGATACCTTGTGCTTGCGTGCACCAATTTTAATCATTCCTTTTGCGCTTATCTCCAATTTGAGCACTACACACTTCAACGTCACAGAATGCAGACGAAAAAAATGTTGCAGGGCCCCTTTTAGAAAAACTTCTATGCAACTAAGTCAATTTTCATATAGACTTGGGGAACTAAATCTATCACTACCGCTTTAACGTCAAATCTGAAGCCCTTGTGAATGACTACTGTTGTCAAGTCATTCAGAATGACAAAGATGTATTTATGAAGAATAAAATATGTTTGCATAACGCAATACAGTAACATATAACTAACTATATTGTCAACAGACCAGAATAACAGGTTCTATCTGGCAGTATTGTTCACAGGAGAAAATTCATATGGGTGCAGTGCTACACACCACACCCTTTAACACTGTCTTCAAAAGCATAAGACATTAGGAAGAAAATGAAGCAGCCAGTTTGCGCACAATAAAGAAAGACAAACTTGAAAAGGTGGTGGCAGCATTCATCCCAGTTGCCCATTCTCCAACTCTACGCATAGAATCTAAGGTTGCTTGGTACACAGAGAGCCCATTTTGGAAGGAAGATGAAATCATACTACTGCTCTATATTTGAAGAATCTTAATAATAATAACAATAATTATTTTGTGTTTTAAGTGCTAGTCTCATGATAATGCTATGAAGCATGCTGTAGTAGAGGGCTCTGAGTAGCTGTGACCACCTGCGATTTTTACACGCACCAACATTGCACAGTACCACCTCCGAAATTTCACCCTCACCAAAATGCCACCACCATGGCCGGGATCAAACTTGCACGTTTCACTTACAGGTCACAAATCAAGCACCACAGCTAATGTACCACCAGGCTGCCTTCAAGACATTTAATAAATGCAGGTCATGCGGTAAGACTTACTCTGCTGAGGGGGTGCAGCGGACATCCACACGAGCATATGGGCCACCTGACATGCCCAGAATGGCACGGACAAAGATAGCCCCAGCAAATGCTCGCAGCAAGGCTTGACCGTGGCTCCGTGGGTGACCAAAGTGTACAACTTGCGCCAGGCGTGTCGTGTGTATTACAGGTGCCACTGCGAAGTTAAAGCTGTGTTAGTGGCACTCAAAGTGCTATTTCACTTTATACCATTAGTTAAACTTGAATACACAATGTATGGCTAGCGATGCAATGACATGACAGAGGTGCTTGCATTTTAGTCGAAAGCCTCAGAGCCAGATAACCTTACCCTTTTTTTTAATATATATAGTAAACATACTTGAAGGACGCTTGAAAGAGCAGATAAGAGCATAATCCCACCTTCCTCACACTGCCTTCGAAATCACTCAGCTGGATTCATTTGTCTGCGGACACCTCAACCGTACCGCAAGGAAAAGAACAAGGGTGTGTGTAACATTTGCCACTTTAAACTTTCTTAGATTAGTCCTGAAAGTACTGTTGCAAAGTGCCCACTACACTAAATATCTTCCTGTTGTACATTGGCGTCATACGCGCTTTGTGCCAGTAAGGCTTAATTTTCTGCATTAAGTATGACTTAATATTTTCCGATTTTACATGGTCGTTGCCATGTAAAGCCCAGTAAAATTAAGTCAAGAAAAAGAAAACTCCTTTTCTTTTTTTTATTGAAAAGCACATTTCTCTAATATTTGAATGTAAAAAGATAGAGACAACATAGGAAGAAAATGTAACTTCGCTTTTGGTAGGTGGCAAGCCAGCCATTTTCTAAAAGTGATGCTTAACAAACTGAGCTGGAGCAATGATCGACCCCAACCGCTTTCCTTATATATATATATATTTCTTTTATAAGGTATGTACATCTTCAATACAGCTCTGCAAGTGTTAGCCAGTACTACATGTGACCACCGTGCTGTACGTGCAACTAGCAAAGTGCCCAACTTTATATATAACATGGAGAAGGGTGACACAATAGCAGAATATAATGGCTAAATGAGTTTAACAGTTGGCACACAGATAGCTTCAGGGGTCATGACAGAAAAATGGCAATGTCCAGATCATGGGAAGTATACTTGAAACTCAATTTAACATGTTCACTGTGGCGTGGGTCACCTACCGCATGCGCTTGTCCTATGCGGCCACGATATTACGAGCATGCTCGCTGATGCGATCAAACATGAATGCAGAGGTACTATTCTTGTTGCAAGAAGTTATAAATAACGAGAAGAAATATTTTTTTCTAGGGTTAGATGCCATGGCCTACTGGTAGGTCGCTGCACACCTGGAAGATATGCCAAGTAGCCCCCTGGTGGGTCACTCCGCACGTAAAACGAGACCTCAAGAAAGCCTGCCGAAACAAATGTGTTAATGAAAGATCGGGGCAGGCTTACCATTTACGCAGGTCACATGGTAGACAGCCAGAACAAACACTGCACCAAGCAGACACATGTGATGCCATGGGGAGTCTATTAATGATGCCAGCCAATCTGCACAGACACCACAAGGCACAATCGTTGAGTGCAAACAAAAAAACCAGCATTTACAAAATCAAATGAAGACAAGTGAAAGCTCGCTTGGCAGACATTATTAAGGCAAAGGCCTTAAATGGCTCATGAAACAGCAAATTTGACCGTCAACGACACCTGTCGGCATGTCAGGGACAAGCGATTTCAAAAAACATCACATGATGTCCCCATATGATGTAATGATGACATCACGGATCAAGGTCTTTTCACCAGAGTTGTTTGACCTTAGTTTTGTGAACCTCATGTGCGTCACAAATTCTGGTGTAACATCACGTTACCTTTAGCTTAGTTGACAACACGTTCGTTTCCTTAGCAGTGGGCCGTTTCCAGTCTTTTACTTACTATATATACTCAGGATTACAGGTGCTTGATCTCTTGTGCTTCTTGCTGTGCTAGGTTTATTAATTTCAGTTTAAGAAAAGCAGTAACACTACAAGATGATGATGGTGTGCTTTTATCATGTGACGTCATGTTAAAATGCCCCATATGACATTTTAGCGCCCTCCTTTGGACAGCAAACAAAATTGGAGAGCATGCCACCTCAAGAGAAGATGAAGACAGCACTTGGCTTTGGCATGCGAGTCCACAACTCGTATTCCCTGCTTCCTTACACATCGAACGATAAGGAAACGATGGCTTCTGCTTTCGGGTCGTCTTAGGTTAATTTAAAAAGGGCCCTGCGAGTTTTTCCATCTTCATTCAGCTAAGTGCCATTGGAAGACTTGATGCAAGCTTATGAAAGAGGAGCAAAAAAAAACAGAGGACTGAAAGCATGCCAACAACATCATGTGGTATTAATCCTTTTGATGAGCAAAAACCAATAAACCTATCACAGCAAGAAGCAAATGAAGCCAAGTGAGCACATATACTAGGTGAAACAGACTGCAAGGAGGCCACTCCAGAAGAAACGAACGTGTTTTTAGCTAAGCCTTAGGTTAAACAGTAAAAGGGCTGCAGCAGAAGAAACGAACGTGTGGTAAACTCAGCCGAAGGTGAAATAGGCAGGAAACGGCCCACTGCAGAGGAAACGAAGGTGTAGTCAACTAAGACGGTAAATCACACAGACTGGAAAGGAACCACTGCAGAATAAACGAACGTTTTGGCAAATAACTGCCTCTTACATGTTTCCACAGGCGTTCCTGCTGACGTTCGTCTAGCCTGTGTTTCAGTATCAAGCTCCACACAGTTTTCGCGGTTGTTGAGTACATTATTGGTGCACCCTGTCCGGCTGAACGAAACGCTACACAATATGAGTGGGGCATGCTGTCGGCGACGCGCAAACTCGAAAGCCATTCCCGAGGTTTCATCCACGCACTCACCGTAGAAGCCGTCGAACGGGGAGTACACGCTGAACTGGAGGAAGGACAAGGCAACGGGGGTGAGAACAAACTGTAAGGCCACAACTATCACGACGGCGTGCACACACCGCCAGAAGTGTACCTGCAAGTAAAAGGAGGGATATTTGATCGACTCTCCCCCTAGAGATTCTCGTCACTGAAACACGTTCATAATAAAATGTCTCCTACTTCGTTTCTAAACCATTCCGTCAGGCCGGTACTCATGTTTCCCGGGTTATCCTCGCAACCGCGCATCTTGCCGATGTTCGACATTTGCGAAATCAATGGCGCTGACCTGACTTGTCTTGGCTTCGTAAGCAACAGAGAGAGGGATCGTCTCCTTTCTGGCTGTTGCTCTACAGACGAAACCATGGACGGAACAGCGCCTACGGGAGTACAAAAGTAGTGCAGTAGTATAGTCTAGGGATCCTATCATACCAGTAGTGTTTTTCCTGGGTGTACTGTGCCACGACTATTTTCACAGACGCGATGGGAGCCCTATGTTAAAGTGCCGATACTTTCTAGCCATGTGTCATGCCATATATCATAAAGGATGTCATATATGATCTGGCTGCCATGATACTGATTTAAAATGTGGCGGTCATGACCCATTTGACCAGTCAAAGGCGTAGCCTTTGAGAACTGGTACATCGAGGCTAGCAGTTCTTGAGTCGTACATTTATATAAAGAAACATTATAAATCAGAAACAAGGCTTAATATCTTGTTTATAATTAATAGCTCGGCGAACTGGCTCACTCATGAGTCGACTCAGATCGAACCGTGAGTCAGAATGACCCCGGTCGAAAAAAAAATAAAAAAATCGTGCGAGTCCGAGTGAGTTCGGCTCAGAAAAATTTCGGTGAGTCCGAGTGAGTGCAAAATATATTTCTTGAGTGGGCTTGGGTGAGTTTCGCTTTCTTTCGCTGTTAGCCATACCTGGAATCACGTTTATAGTCACTTCTATGTTGTGTAGGGGTTCAGCACGACACAACAGTCTACTCACAGGTACACTAAAGCAGTGTCATTCATACACTGTTTCAATATAGTTAGAGACGGGAATTACATGGGGGAAAGGGTGCTCACCCCACCACCTCTTCAAGGCAAGTTCCTGATTGTTAAATGTTGTGCTGTCATCTCTCCCGAGAAAACTGACCTTACTGGTTTGGAAACATTCGGAACTCGTTATGTCAAACGGCACCAAGAAAAGCACCTATTTGGAGAGATATTGGTGGTAAATAGCATTGACACCACAGTTGAAGAAGCTACTCATAGGCTGGCTGACACGAGTCGACTCGCTCGGACTCACTCAGACAAGGATCGAGCTGAGAGTCCGAGTCCGAGTGAGTACCGGTGAGTAACGTTTTGGTGAGCTTGAGTCCGAGTGAGTTCAAAGCTCAAAATACATTGCATGAGTGAGTCTAAGTGAGCTCAACGAGCTGGCCCTCGCATTCTTGCAACCATCGGCGGAGGACCCATTGCCACTTCCTTAGCAGGAAGTTGATTGGTTCAACTGACAATTCAAAGAAAGTATAACCGCGCAAATGGAACAAAGACGATAAAGGAACGAAGACCACAGGACAAGCGCTGAATGCCAACTCAATGTTTATTGCAAGGAAACTAGCCTTTCATATCGTCTCAGAATTACCATCCGTGCATCGGAAATTCACTACTATACATATATTTTTTATAAAGTCTACATATTTCTTCGATCAATAGTAGAGGCCGGGGTTTTTTGCACTGTGGGGGGGGGGGGGGGGGGGTCACTCACGACAAATGAGTTCCTTCGTGTGGGCAGGGATCGAGGCTAGAAACATATACAGGGCCGTAAGAAGAGGGAGGTTGAGGGGGTTCTAACATCTCCCGAATTTTTTTTTATTGCTTTCACTTTTTAGATGATATTAAAGTGTTTACACGCCTAATTCCTATCGACCACTAGTTGCCAAAGTTAGCTGTTCTACACAGAAACAACTCCTAAAAAATCCTGGGTACGGCTCTGAACACATATATGTCTTGTGTTTTGACTGTGTTTACACTTGGGAGGGGGGGGGGGGGGTGCTCCAAGTTACCCTTATTCCCACTGGCGCCTCCCCTTAGTAGAAGAGAGGGCGAACTTACACCACTGTCGCCTTCGGTTCGGATCCAAAAGACCTCTAAAATTCTCTTTCAAAGATTGGAACAAATATGCAGAAGTGCACGTACGTGTGCTCCAGTGTTTGAAAGTTGACCGTTTGGTTGAACCGTGATGGATCCTTTATCAATTTTCCACAAGGAAGTGCAGCAGGCCCCACCATATGGGCCCCACACTCCGTGCCTGGCAGCCTTAGATAGTCATCATCATCGGCCTGACTGCACCCACTGCAGGGCAAAGGCCTCTCCCATGATCCGCCAATGAACCCGGTCTTGTGCTTTCTACCTCCACTTTATAACTGCAATCTTTTTAATCTCATCGGCCCACTTACCTTTCTGTCTCCCCTTCGCGTGTTTGCCTTCTCTGGGAATCAAGTCAGTTACCCTTAATGACCAGCGGTTATCTTGCCTACGCGCTACATGCTCGGCCCATGTCCATTTCTTCTTCTTGATTTCAACTATGACATTTTAAATGACAGTTAAACCCCGGTTTGTTATCTGACCCACCCTGCTCTCTTCCATGAAATTACCAATTAGCCTTCGAAAGTGCGGGCTCCCATCTTGGTGGCCTCCAGCTCATTTCCGATTTCTCATGCATGCCTTTCACCCCCCCCCCCCCCCTCCCCGCCCTATTCCAAGAGCTTACAGGCAGAATTTTTTATTTGGGGTATGGGGTGTGTGCCTCGGGGGGGGGGGGGGGGGCGTCATTTCTTTGATCTGAGGTGGGTTTTGGGGGAGGGAGATGTGATAGAGTACGCGTCATATTGTGCCGTCGAAGAAATTTTCGCGGAAGAGGTGGAGGGCGTTGGTCTCCCTGGTTACGCCACTGCCACCCCCCCCCCCCCGCCCAACACACACACGCACATCACTGCGTGGTGTTCTTGATATAAGCAGCGAAGACAGAATTTTTCTCTTTTTTTTTTTGCAGAAGGAGGTGGGGGCGGGACGTATTTTTGTTCTGTAGTGGAGGCTGGGCAAGCAGTTGTGGCCGGGATCATGTATGCCTTGGAAAAAGAGAGAGGGAGGAGGGGTAGGACACGGGTCCAGTGTGCTACCGCCTGGCTACGCCACTGCCCCATACGGTCACAATCACCGTCGCTACTGCGGCAGCTCACGTCATTTGTTTCGTACTCTGGCACATTATATCTCTTCGCCATAGACTCACCTAGCCTTTAAAATGCTCTTGTAATTACTGCACCTTTAATTCTTCCAATGACGGATTAAAATCTATGCGTTGCGCACCCGGTCTCCAACCACGGACGCCGCATAGATTTAGGAGCACATTAAAGAGCCCCAGGTAGTTGAAGTTTCCTGAACCCTCCACTACGACGTCGCTCATAATTATACCATGGTGTTGCAACGTTAAACTACAACAATTATTATTGATAAATAAAGGCGCAACTTGTAGAGTTTGAAAATCCCGCCCACCAAACCAACAAAATTAGACCACTTTATTTTCACGTACCTGACGTACTTTCGTGAGCCAATGAGCGTTGCGAATATCGCCCAGCGATTGGCCGGGGAGACGTCCGATTCCCACCATCCGTGCGTGCTTGTCAGGTCCAGAGGTGCTTCCGCCCTTTCCGTTCGATTCTGGATCTGTGAAATCTAAACATTTCGTGCCTTGCTGATTTGCGCCTCACTATTGACGGAGTGGAGACTCCAGTAGAGGCGATGGCCTTTCAGCACCAGCCTGGCACGGCTATGCAGTGTTTAAGTGTACGTTTCACACCTTCCTGTTGCGACGATCCGGGGCAAGGCTCCGTTCTTCGAATGCTCGTGGGATCAGAGGCTAGAAACGTGCTTGTACTGTGCACATGCTCACGATATGTTTCGGTTTTCTTTATGATTATTTAGAGAACCCCTTGTTGCCCGGGTGACACGGGAGCCACCTTTTGTGGCTTTGGTCTCACGATCGCAGCGCTGAGGAAACACCCGCTTGCGATTTTGCAGATCCCGATAAAGCTTGCGAAGGAGGTTGGCATCGACTCTGAGGGCAGGGAAGTGATGAAGTGCGGATTCAAGATTGGAGGCGGCATCGACCAGGACTTCACACGTAGCCCGCAAGGGTACACCGACAACGTGCGCACGCCCTATCCCTTGTATCGGCGGAGCTGTCAATTTGCACTTGTTTTCCACTGCAGGGCATCTACGTTACGGAGGTTTACGAAAGCAGCCCAGCAGCCAAGTGCGGCCTCAAAGTGCACGACAAGATACTACAGGTGCGGCAATGCAGTTTATCGTGTCATCGGTAGCGATCGGTTGTGAAGCATGTCTTAACGCGTTCTGCTGTCTGGATAGGATCTGAAGTACAAGTTACAAAGTCAGTTACGCACGAGCCCTTTATCAAAGCTCTCCGGGTCGTTCTGTGCTGATTTGGTGAATCGACTTAGCAAATGTGCGCTTTAATAAGTTTAGAACCACTTCCAGCACGCACGGCGCAGAAGCCATTTTCTGCATATTTTTTTTTCTCTCACGAAAAATGGCACGGTGGACGTTTATCTGCCTTTATTTTGAACGCAATGTGATAAAAAAATATAGTACCCTAATTCACATTACATATGAACATTTACAAATCTACCTGACTGGGCATGGGGCTACTGTAAAAATAAAACACCAACCCGGAAGTTTATGTAATGTAAAAGCTTGTTGCATTTAAAGTTAAAGCCTAAAGTTTTGAGACGAACATACTTTCTTGTTGAAAAGCATATCTCATCGCGTAATATGTATTTCTTCTTTCAATCGTCCTGCCACTGTAGACAAAGGATGTGGGGACTAGCCAAGCTGTCGAAATGCAGTTTTTTCTTGTTTGTCCCAAACACTTGTATACAGCTGTATGTATGTTGTGAACAAACTCAACATTCCTGCTTCACAAATATCAATTTCATTTCCCAGGTGAACGGCTACGACTTCACTATGGTGACTCACAAGAAAGCTGTCGAGTACATCAAAAAACACCCCGTGCTCAACATGCTAATAGCGCGGAAGGGAGTGACGCATTCCTGAAGGCACCCGTAGGACGAAGATTTCCATGGACGCTTGCTGGGCACTCCCGAGATCCTGACATCCAGCTCTGAAAAAGTACTCTGCCCAGTTTTGTAGCTGACTCGTCACATGTCACGTTGTCAGTGTTCATTGTGTGTTCCTGTGAGGTATCGTGACACTGTACCGCCTATATAGTGCGTCAGTTTTGACCATACTTGGTTGGAATGTAAAGAAAAATGTCAGCTCCACTCACAGCACGCACTGTCCCTCTCACAGAGAGCTTGCATATATGCTCCATCCAAAAGCTCTTATCAATTTTCGTGACGTCAAACACATTTTAAGAGTTTCAGATAGTTCACTTTTTCATAAAGACATGCGTGGTGCTGCTTTCAGGTTGAAAAACATCAATGACCTAGTGAATTTCGTGAAGATTACTGACACCACTGCTCAGCCAAACGCAATGTTTTAGGTGGTGACGATGAATATTTTAACGCTGAATATGCATAGTATTTACATACTACGCAAAAAACTATTTGCGTTTTAAGTGGAAACCAGTTTGCACGACTGTCTTTCACAGGTAAAGGGCAGGTATGCTGCAGTTCTGTGGCCGGAGCTGGCATTATATTCTTAATGTGATTGAGTGTAACATCGCACTGTAGATGCCACTGTATCTGTTTTACATATTGACCAGTTCTTCTTTGCCTCTGTCAGCAGCTGAAACAGTGTTTAAGTGTTTGACTGACACTGTCATAGAACTACATTATCAGGGATAGTGCTTGCTGAAAGGAAAAGAAAGGCGGAATTCATCCATCTGGGTGCGCTGCAACATTTTACTAGGTGGTGTGGGCTCGCAGCATTTGGCACCGTACAGTGCTGCCCTTCAGGTGTGCCTGGTTACTTAAATACATGAAGAAACTCTGCATGTCTTCAAGAATTCAGAGTAGTCGTGCTCTTGTGGTACCACATGCTCCTTCCTTTGCCCATGAACTCAATCTCTGAGTGCGTGAAACAGTGGCTACAGCTTTAATCCCCAGCTGTTGTATTCCAATCGACGTGTTACACAGAAGCATCTGATGTAATGGTGCTTTGCATACGCGTGAAGGATCCTTGGGAGGCCAAAGCTGATTTGGAGTAATCTATATCTCCAGTAGCCCTTCTGTCTCTGTGGGGTGATGAATCTAATCAATCAAACCTTAAGACGAGTGTGTAAAATTAAGTGCTGTATTTTACAGTCTGAGGTAAAAGCCAGCCAAGTTTAAACATTATGCAGAGTAATTATTAAATTTGGAGGAGCTGTGTTCTCTCACAAGCCACCATGCATTTCCTGATGAATGTAGAATAGTCCCATTGTTGCAAGAAATGCCTGAAACATGTATTTCAGCACTGCACTTGTTATCCAGACTTCACAAGGGGCAATATATAGCTTGCTGTTCGCACTGTTTGAGCCAAAACTACTCTTTCGATAGAACATTTCTTCGATAAAACTGCTTGACACTGTTACCTCCCAATGGGTTGGGCAGAATAGTGACACAAGTTTTATCTCTTGATCAAGGCCAGCCAAAATTTTTCACTCCAGCTGTTGAGCTTCATCGAAGCTATGCAGCTGTAGCCATCGGGCCTCACAGTGATTCACACTGATAATCTCAATCCTGTGCTGCCAGGAATGCTATTCTCGTACCGTTAAATAGGCAGGACTTGTCTCGAGACTGTGCAATAAGCACCAGACACATCAGCCTCTACAGGCGACAGTATTTCTGGCACTATTCAACGACCAGCTTGGCCCTGTGCCTGAAATTCTACCGCTTGTAGATGCCATTTGCGCTACATTCGACTGGTTGCTACTACGCTCCGGCCTGGTTTGAAACAATGCAGAGTGCTTTCTTAATCCTAATGGAGCAATTCTGTCTCAGCTGAAGATGCACATTCTTACTAGAGTAACTGGAGGAAGAAAGAGTAAAGACGTCTGCAAGTATTATTGCAGACGCTGCAGCTGGCATTACACCATCAGCAAAAGCCGCATGATCGGAGTCGTGCCAAATCTAGGTACCACTCTTGTGTAGAAATGGAAAGCGCTTTAAGGCACTCCAAGCTAGATAACGGTGCTCCGAAATGACCAGCTTAATGCGCCGCATGTCACCATACTGCTTTTTAGCACTTGAAAACAATCGGCGAAATGTATGCTTAGTCTCTCTAGTCGCGTCAGATGGCATACACTTGAAAGTAATCATCCGAGAATGCATCCCCTGCCGAACGAGAGCTACTAGTTGCTTCCACGTACAATGCTGCTGCACTTTTTTTGCGCTTCCAAGCTGTACAGTATAGTCCACTGTTACAGGGAACGCATGAGCTTCTGGCCGGTAGGCCATGCAGCGCTAACTGGTGGCAAGATTTGTAAATGCGGCACATGCGCATGGAAAAAAAAGCTCAGTAAATAAAACACACCGAGGACATAGTAAGGCTTGAGCCCGGCTTTGTTGAGTGCAAGCCCAGTATTCTACCACCAAGCCACGCTGGTGCTTGGGACTTGCTCGCAAACTTGTCTTAGGCAGGCTTGATGTCGGGGAAAGGAATCACAGTAATATGAGTAATAAAGCGTTTTAGAACGGCAAAGGAACAACTAGGCTTCACACAATGTGGATAGCGTAACAAGTGGGTCGTCCAATGCTTCAACCGATTACAAAAGCTTGTTCTTGAGCACCTGTTAACTGTTGTGCTCACCCAATTCAGGCATAATTCCTCATCGTCAGTCACTGCATGAACAATTGGCGCAAAATTTCTTACAAGTGTTTAGTGGATACCCCGCTTCTTCAAAGAATGACAAAGGATCGCATAGTGAATGCTGGCCTACTACCCATAAATTATGATTATTAATGACATAGTGGGTACCCAGCTAGTGTGCTTATAGCAGTTACTCAAAGTGTTTAGAATAGGCTCTGAAAGGCCACTTTTCATGCTTTAGCTGTGGCTCTGATGCGCGTTTTGCGCAGGCCTGGCGTTTTTTCACATACTGTTCACTGCAACGGGTCATTTCTGATAACAGATAAAGCTATTGAAGTCTGATGCAGCAAAAATTTTAAGCTCGCCTTCGCGACCATGAAATATCGGCTTATTGAAAGAGCGACAGGCCTAGTTGGTATCAGTTGATTTACAGTGAAAGCGCGAAGGATTGTGCACGCTAGCGCATGCCGTGCGTATAGATAGAGAAATAGCAGACGACACGGAGCACTCACTGCATTTCCAAATTTCCCCAGCAGTTGATGCTCTGTGGAACCACCGGCCACGCACTCGCGTGTTCGCTCTAACAGTGGACCACGCTGTTTAGGCTGTAACGGGAGAAAATAAATATCGCTTTGATTGTATTTTTTCAAGGATCTCTAGAGTCCGCCCTCATGACAATGGTCAGTTGTAAAGGTACTTAATGCACTGCCCATATGATTTCCGATTTAAGTATGGTTAACATAAATAAGAAAGTTCTGCACTTAGCCTTTTTACTATAGAGAAATGACTACCACAGCGTGGGTTGATTTACAGTCAAGAATATTCCGTGTAGGAAAACACTCTAAAGATCTATGTTCTAAAAAAAAAAATGAGCTTTAATACCGTAATTGCTGTTTTAGGAAACCTAAAATGGTTGAAGTGTACCTTATAGTATGATAGCAAATGCACAAATAAAATTTTTTATTGCCTAGGTGTATGTTTATGCAGGCATGGTTGAAATGGCAGTTATGTGTCGGCAATGCTTGTAACGAGTGACGAAGTGTTCACCTGTTGCTTATTGGTGTCTTGGCATAGTTACAGCTCTGTTGTGTTCTGTGTTTAGTGGGTTACATGTAGAGCCACCAAAGGTTTAATATATATACATATATTATATAAAGATTACATAATGTATACGTTATATAGCCCTGTTAGTCACTATGTGTTGTGTTGTATTGTAAAAGAAAAAAAAATTAATGTTCTTTGGAGACATTATGTATAAGCAATGTTTGCACTACAAGTGCATAGTTACATTCCAGTTAACCTTCACTATCAGAATTACAGCTGTTGAATTATCCTCATGCTGCCAGTTGCTTCCTTTTATTTTCGTGAGCATTCTTCACTTCATCGTAAAATTGTCCTACATTTTGTGTCATCACTTTTCCAGCATGTTCTTTCAGAATGGTCTGAGCAATTACTGTTTCAGAAGGAAATAAAAGAAGCCTGGCCGTTTGACCAAGATTGTCGTATAAAAAAATAAGAAATTGCCTGCCTTGTCGCTTTTCTTGCTGTGCATGTAAGACAATAGCAGAAGCTACTGCAGTGAACCCAATAACTGAAAATGACAGCTACACGCCGTGCCACAAATATATATTGGCAGTTTCCCGTATTGAACGCCTGCTCCTCATGTAAAACCGTGCATCTAAAACACGTGCAAGAACAGGTTGGGGAAAAAAATGTGCGACTTAATTGGCATGACAAGTCAACCTTATAGTCTTCCCACATTTTTCTGTACCACACAATATCGGTGCATATTAAGTGAACATACTGCCAGTTTGCCTGGGAAAGATGATCACTAGAGGCCGGACTTTTAGGCATGAATGGGCAGGCAAAACAACCGTTTAGTCGGCAGAAATAGGCAAACAACAAACGTTTCTGGCCTTCAATGTAGGTGCAATAAATGTTTATATAAACCCAAATAATGTGAAATAAACATGTGCACAATGACATGTTTGTATGACAGGAAAGCAACATATGTAACTGTTCGTAATGGCACAAAGACGGCAACAGTTAAACATAGTCATCCAATGGTTCATACTCAAGCAGAATTCGCTGAATACTGTCTTTCCTTTTACTCTGCAACATCGAGAGTCAAGCGTCCACTGTCAAATCGACACCCTCTGGTGCATGGCTGAGAAGGGCTACTCACAGACGAGCAAGCAGGAATGCCTCTTATTGGCCGAGTGTAATCGCGTTGGGTCATTTTCTCTCCTGTCAGTAAATGCCTTAAGAAGTAAACTACAAAAAAATATGCATGAACTTCACGTTTACTTTTCTTTGCTCCTCGCTGTCTTCCCTGGTGACTTACCTAGTATAGAATTTGCCAACCGCTCACGCCACTTCAGCACAGGGGTGTATGGTGGCTGGTGCGTCCAATTTCTCTTCTGCTAGTGGTTGTTTTCCAAAATTTGGTTGCAACTGGAGGACCAGGTAGAAACCAATGGAGTTCCAAACAGTCACTATGAAAACACTATAGAGGCCTTTCTTAGACTCTACTTAATGCTCGCATATCAAAGTGGCACAATAGGAGCTCAAGGCACAAGATTGGCATTTGCCTAAAATCTGCACGTTAATCATCACACCTCAGTGAATATCAATCAAAATTATGTCTGTGCTAACCCACTGTGGCAGCTAAGTGGCATAGGCATGCGCAGGGTTCTCTATAAGCGAGTAAAGTTCCACAGCAAAGCACCCCAACCTCATTATTTTAGTCGAGAGCAAAACAAGCTTTACAATGAATTCAAAAAATGAAAATCAAGCAATGATGTGCTTTTAGCACAGGCCTGGCATTAGCCACTGGCTTTCCAGGCCAAAGATGGGAAGTAAAAACCTCTTTGAATGTAATATCAGGAGTTCTTAGTTGACATTACAGTGAAAAACCATGACTATTCATAGCGCTGCCCATTAAAAATATGACATGAAGATTGCAACTAAAATAAGGCACAGTGTAAAATCAGGAGCCTGTTTAGATAATTAGGGTGTGCGGCTGACTCCTGCCTACCACTTTAATCTCTCTCTCTCTCTCTCTCTCTCTATATATATATATATATATATATATATATATATATATATATATATATATATATATTATATATATATATATATATAGACTGACACTGGGGTTTGGGTGCACGGGAACCTAGCTCTGGTAGTAAAAAAAAAGCCCAATGTACGGACATTGTCTCTTCCTCTACAATATATATACGAAGGTTTTATGTGCCAAAACCACCATATGATTAAGAGGCATGCCATAGCGGAGTGCTCCAGAAATCTGGACCATCTGTTGTTCTTCAACTTACACCAGGGTTCATATTTGCAAGTTTTTTCAGTGCGCAAGCATAGGAAAAAGGGACAGGGTAGACAGAAAGATTGCTGACTTCCAACTAACTTCATTTCACAGAGTGGCAAGAATATATATGCCTAAAAAGGATTATTACTGAACATGAAGATAAAATACAAGTCATAATCAATGTGTCAGTATCAAACTTGCAAATATGACTATGCACCAACTAGCCCAAGCTTCCACTCTTGCCAGGGTTTATGCTCACTTACATGACAATGCAAAGGTTTTCAAGGACGTTCAAGGCTATTTTTCCGAATCTTCAAAGACCACACTGTCTGTTAGACACCCAATCAACATATGTTCAGGGAAGGATGGAGGCTTGAAATAACTAGAATTTATCAAAAAAGGGGAACATCACTGGTACATACATAAAATCATGGCTCTAATGGCATTTTCTTTCTAGACAACTTTCAGTGACAGTTTCAATCAAGTTGCATAGGTAATCACTTAAAGTATCACTTAAGTTGCAAACTTTTATTTGGATAGAAAAAACTAACAAATAGTTATTATGGAATGCCTTGTTGCTTTTTCTGAATTTTTATATCAATATTCATATCTCCTGTTGCTTGGTCTTGGCAGTCTTCATAATGCACGCCAGGTCGCTGATTGTCTGCCTTTTCTGTATTACGAGTCTGCTGTAACTGTCAAGACCTTAACAAGGGCTTCCTGTTTGTTTTTTTGTAAGCATTTCGACCTTGTCCTCAATGCAACATGTTTATGGCATCAGGAATAATGCGCTGATAATTGTGTGACAATGTTTATTAAAAAAAAGAAATTTAAGGATTTTTAAGGATTTGTGAAAGTTCCAGCACTTTGAAAGCCTTGAAAATAAACTTTTTGCAAATCAAGGGTTCTCAAGGATTTCAAGGGCCCAAATGAACCCTGTCAGTGCACTGACAAAGCACAGTACAAGGGCTCTACCATTTCACCTTCATCAAAATGCGACTGCCGTGACCACAGCCGAACCAGTGACCTCAAGGTCAGTAGCTGAGCACCGAGACCGCGACAACACGGTGGCAGACCCCTGCGTACATGCCTATGCTTAGTGGGCAAGGTGTTACGCTAAGAAAATAGAGGACGTGTGTTCAATTCGCAGCCACAGAAGCCGCATTTTGACGAGAGAATTGTAAGGAGGGCTCACCTACTTGGGACACCCCAGTTTGTTGAAACTGCCACTACAATGCACCTCGTAATAATATCTAAGCCAAAAAGCTTCCTGCTAACTAACCAGGCCTGTAACCAGAAAATTTGGTTGGGGGAAGGGGTTGGAGGCACATCAGCCAAAAGACTTGACAATTTATGAAAAATACCTATTTTTAGCATTTATTTTTGGTAAAACAGCCCTTCCCATCAAAATTTTGAGGATAGGAGGGGTGGGGCTATGGGCCAGATACCAATTGATAGCCAATTGTGGAAACGGGTATGACCAACACACTTTCATGCACTGCATTTGTGCAATGTCAAGAGAGTGATGCAAGGCTGACAAGGTGGATGCTTGAGAAGGGCGTACGTAACTACAAACATGGTCAATATTTCGCATTTGTTTCTTCAAAAATACCGAGGCCAATGCTTAGGTGCAGAGTTCAAAGATCAATATACATATTGTAAGTTATTTAGGAATATTGTCTAATGTGCTTAGCAAAAAGTGGTGACGACTAAGTCGCTAGATTAAAATTTGTTCAAGGGTATTTAGTAAGCTTAATACAAGCGGCACATCACACATCGTACACATTTCACTATCCATATGAGGTACAGGCACACATGATGCACAAGATAACGTCATGTGGTGCAACAAACCCGTCAATGAACCTCAAATGATTGCTCAAAGAAAGCATGCATCCTTCAATATCACTCGGATTACAAACTTTTATTTCCAATAGCAATGTAAACTGTCCAAAGAATGCTAATAGTACAAGTAGCAAAAATCACACATTTTGAAAGTTCAGTGGTGCACAGAGGTAGTGAAACTTTTTTACACAGCAGATCAAGCGAAAATGTTTAGAAGTCTTTGTTGGTCTGTTCCTTTGTTGGTCACATACGCTCTCCAAAACACTCTTCGCGTGTATCCTTAACCATGCGTACTGTTCACCGTTTGCAGTGAGCACAAAGTAACTTCACAGACAGCGATTAGCTACTATCACGAAGTACATGAATTTTGGCACGCTGTAGAACTTAAGGTGCCAAGGTGAGTGACCACAGCTGATACGATGCTTCGTACAATGGTGGGCGAGAACTTTTTCAATGCCAGACTTAAAAGAATAGTCTTTGAGGTCTCGATTGTCTTGGCTATGTTCTTGCCAGCCGCTTCTACCTCCGCCTGAAAGAATAAAAAATGGCACACATGACATGCACGGCAGGCACTTTGAAAAGGCAAGAAAGCTGCCCATGCCAAACATCAAGCACAGACCTACTTGTTCTCAGTGCAGTTAAAGGACCCCTGAAAACACTGTTTATAACTACAGCTAGAAGTGTTTAGACATTACACACTTTTCATGAGGAGGAATTCTCTTTCAATTCTCATTCCTTGTGGGCACAGCTATGGCTTGCTTCCTCGGGTGCAGTGTGATAGGCGTGATGAAAATTGTCTCTGCTTTCAGAGTATCTGAACTAAACATAATCCAATGCATCATTCCGGCACGATTTCCCTTGTTCTTGTGGCAACAGTGGCCTCAAGATAACGATGTTTTTTTTTTCTTTGCAGCTTTTGCATTTTCTGCAGTAAGTTACTGATGCAGTTAATTTCTTGTACATGCATGCAAAGCAAATAAAACAAAAAGAGCAAAGTGCTAGCACCATACATGTTCCTGTCCCCATAAAATGTGCTGCCCCAATAAAACAAACTTTGCGTATGGACTGCTATCGCAAGCCATCTTATTCATTCTCACTCCTTGCCTTCCACTGTGTAACCACACAAAGCTGAGCTTTTACAAAAGAAGCTCCCAATTAAATTATTTTTCTCAAGCATGTTAGGTTACGAACCAGATGATATTATGGGCACTGGCAACCAAATTGTGTTGCACAACGTTTCAGAATGCCATTACAGCATTAGATCATCTACAAGGTGCTATAGGCACCCGGCAATGCAGTTTGCTTGTACATGCCGCGCCGCCTAGCAGCGGCGCTTAGAACCTACGGGACGGCCCTTCGCAGCATTTCATCGTTGTGCGCATTGCGAACAGGCGGAACATAGCAGCGCGTCGTTTTCAATGGGTTTACCGCAGCCTGTTGACAACTCCATTGTTAGAGGTGAAAAAAAAATGCAGATACCACAACAAAGAAGGGGATGTCGGCTTCATAATGTATTGCTTCCCATCGAGACCTTGAAAAGCAACTCGGCGGCAGTGGATTGTCGCTGTTCGGCGCGTCAAGTAAGTGTCGCCCTTGCGAATTTTTTTTTTAAACGACATCAGAGCAAAAACAGCAGCGGGAAGCATTCGTGCAATGCACGGTAACATTACAACTACTCACAAGCTTGTGTTAAAACACGCACAGAGGTTGTCACTTGTGAAACATAACATCGTAAGAGCTTAGACACACGGCGCATTTTCTTAAACATTGATTTGTCGATGTGGCTTGCCGCTCCTTTGTGCACCCGGACGATGTCTATACTGCTGGAACGGGCTCATTAATGCCGAGGCTTTCTCGCGCTTAGTACAACAGAAATAAGGCTGGAATGCACCGAGTAACACGTGGAGTATTCGCATATTACCGCTTCTCTCGTGCACAGGTTTTGTTTTCCTGTAATTGTCAGCTAATTGCTCCATCACTCGTCGTGTATTTGGATATTTGCATTTCGCACGCACACACGTTTTGTTTTTGCGTTATTGAGTGTCAGCCGATTTCTCTCAATCCAATGTTTCAGCGCCGATGACCTCTCACCTTGGAAGCCTAACGAGAATACCAGGATATGCTAGAGGCATTTCCACAACAGCGAAAAAGCACCATCCAGATCATCGTTACCTTCCGACAATATTTCCTCCTGTATACAAGAGGCGGTCGACAGCTCCTGCTTAACAGCTTTCGAGGTTTTCGAGTAATAAAACTACAAGTGACAGCAGATCGAGAAACGTATACGGTTGTATTTGTGCGCTTAAGTGGAATTCAACGTCGTAAGCATACTTGCTTTGCTGTGACAAGCACTTTGCTATAATGTCGGTGTTCCCTTCTTAAACACTATACAACACATGGTCATTGTCGTACAGTGTGCGTCCCTTTTCAAGCGTCGGTGGTCGAAAATGGGCATCGATGTTTTTAATCGCCTTAAAACCGCAATGTAAAACCACTGACATGCTTCAAACAGCACGATAAACTCACGCCATGAATGGTAGAAATGGCTTGTTGGTCGCCTCGACGCTTTGCAGAATCGACACCGTGGCACTGACGAGTGGGCCGATCGCTGCGCCACATAACCTTTGTCGGTTGTCTATAGTGGTTAGTTCTTTTTGCCACATATGTCATGATCATGTGGCCTGTGTATAACGTGTGATGCTTCAACTTAAAAGGGGTTCTGAGTCGCTTTCAAGAAATTACCGAATGACCTCAGTACTGAAGTTTATTGCCTCGCAACTCAATTGCCACAAAATATTGCCAGAATATATCATGAATGAGCAGAGTAACAGAGACTTGTCTCATGCTTTAAAAGCTTTCTCTTGTCCCAATGAAAGTTCTAGAAGCTACACATAGCAGGATGGTGCAATGGAAAGAAGTTGCACCACACACCGTGACCTTGAGCACACATAATGAAATAAAATTGCTTTCTGTCGTTGCGATTCCTTTGTGTGCGAGTGTGGCTACCATATAATGTTAGCAGACTAAAAGCATGGCACTGGATTGTAGTGGCACTCTGTTGAAAAAAGTGCATCTAATCCAAATGCTGCTTTTGATTCATGTTGGTTATTAACGAATGGCATGCTTTCTGCTGTTCGCGATCAAGCTGCAGGTGCTGGAAGCTACTCAATGAAAAGAGGGCACTTAGTAAAATGGCAAATTCATGCTGTGCTTCTCAATTTTAACAGCGCACGACTGCAAGATTTGGCCGAGCTGTTCATAGCAGCATCTGCGTTCACCAGGACGCTAAATACTGCCTTCACTAAATACGAGGGGTGGTTCGCGACCCCCTTAAGTCGAGGCCTGCTGCATTGTAAAGAGAGGGTCATGTTTGTAACACGTTTCTCGGGCCCAAATACATACACTGTAGACACAAAGCAATATGTAGCGATCCACCATTGCAGACCACGATAACTAAGCATTCAACGTAGTAGAGGGGCTGGCAAGAACTGTAGTGCACAGCTCACACTACCTCGTCCTTTCCGAACAGCACCTTCGTAGTATACACAAGCGTCTTGGGATCATCACAGTTTGCAGCATCCTTTGTGACAAGCACCTGAAACATAAACCGTAACAATAAACTTTCGTTTTATTTATCCAATGGTGACAACACAGATTCCAAAGTCCAAAAGACGCTTTCAACACCCCCATTAGCAGAACCAGTAACTGGAAAAAAAATAGCAATAAAAGTAGCTAATCACTGATATCAAAACCATTTCTGAAAAATAGGAAAGTAAGGCTTGTACGGGTATCAGCAGTGAAAATGCCATGAGTACTCAAGGACTTTCAAGTGCCTGTATAAGTTCCCTCGAAGATGCAAGGCTGCATCCCGAGTGGTATACAGTCAACTCTCACTTGGGTGAGCTCCAAGGGACCCAGTTAAATAGTTCACCTAATAAATATTCACCAGAATATGTAAGAGCTTTGGGCACAGCAGAAGTCAAATAAATCATGCGAAATGCGATTCATTTTGAAAAAAAAAAAATCTGTAATTCTCATTTGGACAGGCACCTTTGATGAGCAAGAAGAAACAAAGCTGTACAGAGAGTATACAGTTCTGTGCTTTACCTCAAGCACAGGTTGTTGCTGAGGCGAAGTCTTGCATTTTTTTAATATAACCTACAGCCTGACCTTGAGATATGGGATTGTAACGTGCCTCAGCAATTATAACTTCTTCACTGCACTCTCTTTCTTGGTTTTTGAGATGAACACAGGAAACAATTTCTGAATTTCATAGTTGCACCAAGTGCCGAAGCACGTGTGGCCTGTTTCTGTCTCCTGCACGATTGTTTTGCTTTGGTGGCACTGCATTCACAAACGATCTTGCATCGGTTATGTCAGTGCCGCAGGGCACGAAACTTCATTGAACTGATCTCAAGAATGAGCCTGGATCCGCAGATCAAGTTTGTTCGATTAAAACATTTTTTCAATGAATTGTTTAAAAAAAGAGAACACCTCTTAAAGCTTGTAGTTCTGAAATGTTTGTTAAACTGACATTCGTAGAAGTAAGAGTTGAATGTATTGCATGTTTCCAAGACATTATGGATAGCTTCACAGAACTAAACACAAAAAAAAATTGAAGAATGTGCAGCGTCAACTTGAGGTTTCTAACACGTACAGAAATTCACAGCATTAATGTAGCTGCATAAACTTTTTTTATGCTGACTGAGTAATGTCATTCACTTCAACCTTTTACTTTATGCAGTTTTCTGTAACTCTTTCATTTTTAAAAAGCTGATGTCATTGCATGCCTGGGCTTTTCCTAGTACTGATGATCTGCTCAAGAAGACAAATGGCCGATGCCTCCTCCAAGTCTTTTCATTTTGCTTTTAACTCATTGTTAATCGAACACACACTTGTCACACACTTGTAATCGAACACACACTGAACACACACTTGTCTGGCTACCTGCTGTCCTCAAGCTTCTCTTATTTATCGCGATAACTGTTATGGGATCACAACAGTTGTTTTTGGTGCCATAGTTGTTTGCCGCCGGTGTATACAACTGCTATTGCGTGAAATAAGCAAATGAAATAAATAAAATACACCAAAGACAGAAAGGGATTCAAACCCAGGCCCTCTGCAAGGCAGCTTCGTATTCTACTACAGAGCCATGCCCGTGCTTGAACCTCCTTCGCTAACAGACCATATTGGGCTTCATGTCTAAGAAGTAATCACATTAAGATGCATAATAGAGCATTTTGGAAGAGCAGTGTAACAACGAGCCATCACACAATGCACACTGCATAACAAGAGGGTTGCCGAATATTCATAAGCTACTACAAAGGTCTCAACTATAATTCTTCATCATCATCAGATACCACACCAACTAAGTACACATGAAGTACTGTGGATGCTTCCCTACTACATAAAAATTGTGATTTATGGCGTAGAGGGTACCTCGAAAGTCTACTTGTATTAGTTACCGAGGGATCACGTTTACATATGACGTGGGTAAAAGATTAAAATAATGACTGGGCATCACACAATGCGAATCATGCAACTAGTGGGTCGTTTCATTTAAGGCTTCCAATTTATTACGAAGGGCTCAGCCACGATTCATCGTCATCAGCTACCGCATCAATAGAGTGCACATAACGCCTTCCAGATGTGAAGCGGGGGTCTCGCTTCTACGCAAAATAATAACCACGGAATAGGTGCTTTGGTCCATAGCAAAAATTTTGATTTATGGCGTGGTGGTAGCGGTGCCATGCAACTGTCTTTGTACTAGTTGTCCCAAGTGCGCTTAAAAGTTACTCTAGACAGGCCCACTCTGCCAGCGTTCGCTGTGACTGCTGCCCGTTCAACCCAAGCCTCTTTTTTTTTTTAGCTTCGATTCGATACAGTTCGACCAGGACAGATTAGACGGTAGCAAAATAACCAATACCACGTTGCCGTGTCAGTAAATAAGCGTTTTCGAATCAAGACTTGCCTACCACGGAAAGAAGGTCACAAAACTGATTTTAGAACGTAACATGAAGTTAGAAGCTTTTCCTTTCACCTTATTGTAGCTGCGACGTCCTCACCTATTTTGTAAATGGCGCCTCTCCAGCAGCGCGCACTTCATTTCAAAAAATAAACACAGAATACTTACAAGGGTGCCCAGTTTCTTGTACTGGGAAATCACGATAAACAGTTTGTCGGTAAACTCCATGATGGATATGTCGGTGTCACAACCTTCAATGGACACAGACGCCTGAAAAACGAATAAGTGAATTCCGTGACGAATCAACACGGCAAGCACAGTCTTCGTACTTACGACGACGCTTGGGATGAAGCCGGTGGCGAGTGAAGGAAAGACATGGCCGTTGTCAGCGCTCATTGCCTTCGCAGTATCCATTGTTTTCGATCGGTGTGGCGTTCAGAGGCACAACTAAATGCGATGATAAGCAATGAATGTCAACGCTAGTAGAACAAGAACTTCCACCACACTGCTTCCACTTTGAAAACAAATCACTACTCCGTCGGTGGCTCGCGCACTTACGCTTTGACTTGGCCTGGCTTGGCTGCTCTCGATTAGCAAGAACACCATGACAAGCATCTCGTTTTCTTTCTTTTTGTAAATATTTCTCAAAGCTTATCCTTCCTTAAAAGTCTGGCAGTTTGGGCTAGTTGGTATGACATGACGATAGTTATAGCACAGAACACCTATACACTAGTTATAGCGGGAGAACAGAACGACGACAAAGTGTTCTTGTCTCTTTGTCTTCGTTCTGTTCTATCATTCCTGTTTGTCTCCTAAGGACAGTGGGGATGTTGCACATGCTGGCAATGTCTGATTCTTCCATTTCAAAAAAAAATAATATGACCAAAGGCATCTATTACTGAAGTGAAAATTATTGCTCAAGAGCACGGCTATGGTCCCTAGAATATACTGGCCAACTCAGAGCGGCGAGCAAGCGTGGTAGTTTTGTTCGGGCTCGTGTCTCGCTCGTAGATGGCGCTACGCACAACAGGGCCGCTGATCACTGAGCGCGCTGGCAGAATCAATATCGAAAACCACGTCATAGTTGCACGGAACACAAAGATGTTTCACATTAAAGGTAGTGCCGCCGGTGCCACGAAGTGGCGCCCAATAGATTTAGACACGTTATACCGGGCCCCATGGGCGGAGCGCTTTCTAGTGGAAAGAAGGCGAACGTGACCAACTTTTCGACGCTGCTGCCCCACTGCGCCTTCCAGATGTGTCGACACTCGACCGTGCTCAAAAGTGGAACCGTGCCCCCCCCCCCTCCCCCTTCACATTCATTTCCCCCAAACGGCCGGCCACCATATATGTATGGGCACAATAAAGTGTTGGCGTTCGGTGAAAGGTAGTCCCCATTGCCCTAATAAACCTGACCGTCCCACACCTTTCCGAAAAACCATAGACAAATTAACTACACGGAACAACGCCGCTTCTATCCCGCACCGGCGAAGGGACTGCCGAAAACGGAAGAGCACAGGCAAATACGCTGCTCTGTCCAGCCGCACTCAAACATTACGACCTGAAAATAAGTGGGCAACGCCACTGCAGATACTGTTACACTAGCCATACGGTGAGGACCTGCCAACTGAAGCCAAGATGAACCCCAATGCCCAAACCCACCAAAGGCTGGGAGGCGACCCTGTTCATTACCTCCGTACTGGAGGAACAGCGAAGTCTCGGTACATGGTTAAAGGGGCAGACTTTTCACTTTCCTTTTCCTTAGGTTATCTAGGGGAGGGTTGGGGGCTCTGCCTTTTTTCATGCGCACGCATATGAGCACGAGTACTACGACGTAAGATGTCACGCTAAACAGCAGTGGTGGCTAGAGAAAAGGGGACGGATGCGGTTGAGGCGATCGCCCTTCCCAATGCCTGCGTCAGCACCCCCCCCCCCCCCTTTCCTTCGTTGTAGTCGACCTTCTACTACCAGTTAGGACAAATGAGTGAAACCCCTGTCAGCGCACATTTACAGTATTTATGCTATGAAGGAGTTTTTCTGCTAGTAAAAACAGTCATTCCACACAAACTATAGCCCTGACGTCACAGATTTCTACGACGTCCGCTTCGGCCTATAGTAGATAGCTCTTTATGGCTAATGTAGCCAGAGACTTGACGCAGCAAGCATGAGGAAGTTTTATAAGGTAAATAGTACAGTCAAAATAAAGTTATCACAGATTCTGGAGCAACTTATAACAACAGTTACGACGAAAAGAAGTGGATATTTAAGGGCTCGTTTTGTTCTTCATTAGACACAATATTAATTGGAACTAACAGATACCTTCAGGTAGACTACTCGACGAAAAGGTCACGTGCTACGTGACGTCAACAGGCAGAAAAGGAGTGTCGCCGCGATGGCTATTATAGCGGCGCCGACTAACACTCCGAGATTTAAATGCACATATATGCCCCATGAAGTGGACGGGCGGATGACCACCGCTGTAGCTCACTCAGTTGGCAGATCATCGGACGCGCTACTGAAAGGTCGCGCGTTCGGTTCCTGCCGGCCGCAAGTTACCTTTTGTCCACTTTTCTTTCTTCGCATTAACATTACGATCACTTGTAACAACATCCCCTATACTTTCCTTGGCTCCGCATCATTGTTTGTTAGTTCTCATTAACTACAGTTATAACAAATTCTGAAATCCCGACACCGCGACATCAGATGCTGTTACGGCTCCACAATAATAATAAAAAAATTATACCCCTTTATCTTATAATAATGAGCCTACGATTAAGTACAGGTGGGCTTACTGGTGTTCATTCATCTTCAAATTTAGCGTGCGTTAATTGAATACAGACCCTGCTCACTACAAGAAAAAAAAAAAAGGAACAAATACAGGACACGTGACGTAGAGCTCAACGTCGAGTGTCCTGTAACAACGACTCTGAGAAAAACTATGCCTGGAACGTCACTCTCTTATCAATTGGGAGCCTGCTGCCAGCACGCCATCTCGGAGGCCATGCCTCCTGCCTTGTGTTGCGACCGGCCGCCGCGTGAGACCGCTCGCCTCCGTACCACTCAGTCACGTGACCTTACCGTACCGCTTTGTCACGTGAAATGACGGCTGCTTGGATGCAACTGTGTTCGCAGGGGGCGGCCGTCAGAGACGCTAGGAGGGTAAAACCAGAGGTTTGGGAAGCGCGTTCGCGGCTCAAGTTTTAGCCACAACTTTTTTAAGAGGCGTTGCCTGTAATTATTGATTGATTTGTGGGGTTTAACGTCCCAAAACCACCATATGATTATGAGAGACGCTGCCTGTAATTATTTCGTATTGTGCACTGTCTTTGTTCACTCAGCGCACCTTTAACACGAAACTATGATGTGAAATCAACGAAAATGTATTTTTCAAAGAATAAGTTATAAACATGACTTGTTTCACTGTAGCGCTCCTTCAAACTGCGCGCCACGCTTGTCTTAGTTTCGAGTGCTTGGCATCGCAGGCTACGGGTCGTTGGGGGCTGCGCCCTACTTCGCTCAGGCAAAGCGTGTGAAACGCTGCATTCAGAGCGTGGGATTACTCCGCTCAGGGTAATGACACGCGTATCCGTGAGCGACTTGGAACGTTTTCTTCGCGCGTCTGGGCGGCACTTCGCGTTTACTTCATTCACATTGCTGCACTGGCAGGCACGTAAGGGGGGGGGGGGGGGGGGATGGCTAAGAGAATAAGTTACCACACGCTGGTTAATACCAAGTTCAGATGAAGGGGAGTGTTTTACCGAGAACAAGTAATAGAAATAAATTTGTTTCAAGGTTTTCAACAGGTGACTTTTCAGGAGCATAATTCCCGGCTACGGGCCTAATATAACTTGCACGTGGTAGCCGTTAGTGGATGATAAAAGTGCTTATTCCTGCGGCCCAAAAAGAGAGCACGCCTCAGCGTCACTGGTTGGAGGGGAAAGGAAAATGGAATAAGATGACCAAAGGAGACTCCATATTGTACATAAACGAGTACCTACAATGCGAAGCGCCAGTTGGCGATATTTGAACAAACGCAGCGCCACTTAATTAGAACTACGATAGGAGACACATAAAACACGGACGAGCGCCGATTTACAACAAATTGATTATGTGCGGGGTTTAACGTCCCAAAACCACCATATGATTATGAGAGACGCCGTAGTGGAAGGCTCCGGAAATTTCGACCACCTGGGCTTGTTTAACGTGCACCCAAATCTGAGCACACGGGCCTACAACATTTCCGCCTCCATCGGAAATGCAGCCGGGATCCGAACCCACGACCTGTGGGTAAGCAGCCGAGTACCTTAGCCACTAGACCACCGCGGCGGGGCGATTTACAACAAAGTTTATTTGCGCTTCAACATGCATTTTTTATGCACCGTATCTGAATTACACGAGTTTTGGATTACCTCGGTCCGTTCCTGCTTTTTTTTTTAGCTTTGTTTTGTTTCAATTATTAGTATTTTTAGCGCTAGGAACGCGAACAGGCCGTCAGTTTTACTGAGTGACGTTGACATCGATTCTCTAGATTGTACTTTATAAACAGTCCTTTGATCATCACGTGATGTTCCGTGTTTTGTTGGTCACGTGCTTGTTTAGTGATGTACTCCCACTTATCACCAGGACAAGTTATAGTTCCCGCCTTACGCGTTTGGTTTTGTGTTCTGAAGGCGTGGTTTTGAAGTGTAATTAAGTGTCGACGGTCGTGTCCTCAAAATAGGTTTGCGTTGCGTAACATATAGTTTTTATTAAACACTTCATTAATTCGTTGTTATTACTAGAGGCCGTTTTTTCCCGAAATCTAAAAGCGGCAATTGATGTCTTCAATTCTCCCATTTGACCTAACTGCCTAACCTCACCAATTAAAAAGTTAAACTAACTTTCCTAATTACTGTTCAATATGATGTATTCAACCCTCTTACGATGTTCGCCGCTACAGAGAAAGCAACTGTGAAAGCAGCAAGCAAATAGCGTTATTTGCTGATTTTTGAAGAATAGTGGACATATTTCTTGAAACACTCTCTCGTCCCACAGTAGGTATGCGATTATTTTTGCCTACAGCATCCTTGTTCCCTTTCACGTCACATCGTCTTATCAGCGTTTTAGTTGATATGGCCGGCTTTGGTGCATGAAGGGGCCTGTTGAATCGCAAATAATTGATTGATTGATTTGTGGGGTTTAACGTCCCAAAACCACTATATGATTATGAGAGACGCCGTAGTGGAGGGCTCCGGAAATTTTGACCACCTGGGGTTCTTTAACGTGCGCCCAAATCTGAGCACACGGGCCTACAACATTTCCGCCTCCATCGGAAATGCAGCCGCCGCAGCCGGGAATCGAACCCGCGACTTGCGGGTCAGCAGCCGAGTACCTTAGCCACTAGACCACCGCGGCGGGGCTTGAATCGCAAATAAACTCCATTGTAAGTCGGCACTCGTCTGCACATGAGTCTCCTGTCTTCGTCTAAGTCGCGCTGCATATTTCCGATTATGCGTACCAACTCGCCCAGGTCAAAAAGTTATCGCAATATTTGTCTCCTCGTAGAAAAAGAAACAATGGGAAACGAACTTATAGCACATAGCACACTGGAGGTATTCTTTACCATTAGACCATGCAGCGCGCTGCGCAGTATTCTGCTTGCATGTAGGTGCTAGTCAGCTGCATGCACTGTATGCAGTAAATACATAAGACAACACGCATATCCCACCTCTATGCAGCGAATGAGAGGAGGGATCAACTACTAAATGCGCATTTTTTTTGAACAACGGACCGACGAAACGACAGGCGCGGCTTCATGCGTTGTCTACAAAATTTTGTGCAAGTAGTAGTTGATCACAGAATATCAACTATAGCTCGAACACACACCTTGTTGAGAGGAATTGGACATATGTACACGGGCTTACCCACCAACCTCGCTAAGATACACTATATGCTCACATTTACTGTGGTGTACATGTATACGTTGCCATCATGCTTTGATAGCCTAAGCGTGGTCTCGCATTTTGAATGAGGAAGATTGAGGAATTTCGCGTTGGAAACCGCACGCACTATAGGCGTTTCAGACGTACGGAGTCGATATGCCCTTTTATTGGAACAGAAATGCATCCCGGAAAAAGATAGAGCGGACCTCTAAGGCCGCAGGATTGCTTCGAGAGTATTACGCAGGCAAGTCCTCGGGTACCGTTCAGATGTAATGTGAACGGCCTTGATCCGCGCGCTGTTGCGCGTCAGCGCCGGCCAAGGCTTGCGTCCTATAGCGTCACCGTCAATTCCCACACTGCAGGAAAACGCATTATGTGGAAAGCGGCGCGTGCGTCGTATACAAACGAGCGTCACCCTCGCCTGACGGCGGCGGCTTTCACGGAAGCTCTTTCGCTTAGGCAAAAACAAACGTGAACAAACACAGAATCTGAGTGATGACGAAGTTTATTCACACACACACACGAACTTGAGTGCGCTGCGTAAATCACACTGTTATACTTTTTCGCCTGCCCATGTTTGCATGATGTTTCAAGAGTGAATTTCCTCCTGCCCCTGTTTTCGTGATGTTTCAAGAGTGAATTTCCGTTTTAACAGTAAATTAAGGGACAGGCAAGGATGAGATGATGTCATCAATGATTGAAGTGATTAAATGCATTTGTGCGATATGAACACAAGTATTTCAGCACTGCAACTTTAGAGAGCAAGCCACCCAGAATGGTTGAGCAGAGAATGCGCTATACGTACGCAACACGTTCAAATCGGTGTTTGAAACAGTATACTCGTTCGACGAAGGTACGCAACGCTTAATGAATCATCAGCGGTGCCTTGTAAAACACGCCGCACAAGTTCGCTAAGATGCCAGCATCATTAACGAACTGAATAAAGATATGCCACCAAGACACTGATGACCAGAACCTCTCCGGGACGGCAGATGCTAACGGAGCAACTCCTTTTCATCGTTTGGCCCTTGCCCTATACAGCGTTGCACACATACAAATTCATAGGAACTGACACGCCCGCAAAGTACGCAGGCAACGTTGAGATCCATGGCCCTCAAGCCACTGCACTTTGGTGAAATGTGCACGAAAGTGACAAAACTGTTCACGACACGTTGTGCACGCATCAACCCGCGCAGGAAACCACGATATACGCGTCGTGAGCGCTCTTTCGAAGTCCCAACGACAGTCGTGTATCAGTCGACTCGCTTTCAGTACACACAAACATTCAGCGCGTGCTCTAGTCGAGTACGCGCCTATGTTTCATGACAGGTACAACCGAAACAGTTCATGAAAAAAAAAAAAGTCTCTCGGTAGGCCATGCACCGTGCCGTCCGCACGGACACGACTATAGTAGGAGACCGCGCACGTTTTCGCAACCGGAGAAACATTACGTGGGCACGGCGCACTGCTGTCCGCCGCTCATGAAGTGGAAATGAACAAATCCAGTCTCGTGCCACCACACTAGCGACAGGAACACGATGACGTGCCAGATCTGGTGACTCGAGAAGACGTAGTCGACGCGGCCGGGCCAGAGGCACTCGGGGATCTTGAAGCGGTACACGGCGAACGCCATCCCGATGAGACCGAAGAGCACCGCGATGCGGGGAAGGAGCAGGCGGACGATGGGGGCCTCGAAACCGCCGTTGAGGGCGAACCAGTGCACGGTGGGCACCAGGCCAAAGAGCACCAGAGAGCTGAGTACCAAGAGCCGCGCGGGTTCCACGTCCTCTCGGCCGGCGAAGCGAGGCGCGAAGTTGAGCACCAGCACGACGGCGACCAGTAGCACCTCGACGCCGCTGTAGGCGAGCTCCAGCCAAGGCCTGCAGCTGAAGGCGAAGTGGACGCCGGAGAGGAACGTCATGCTCAGACTGAGCGCCACGCCGAGCACGTCCCACTTGAGTAGCCGCTGGTAGCACTGCTCCGAGTGGCAGTTGAACGTGTGGTACACCACGGACAGCAGAAGGGTCGTCATGTACGTCAGGCATATGGCAACGCAAAACGCCCGGTCCACCGCTGAAGGGGACACCTCGTCCAACCGTTGGACGAGGTCGTGCACGAAGAGAGCCAGCATGATGAAGAAACCCGACAGGTGCGTCCAAATGTTCAGCGTCTCGTTGTTCCACTCGAAGGCGGAGCGGGCGCACCGGCGAAGCGCAAAGTTGCAGCGGTAGCCCTTCAGGATGAACGGATTCTGGCGGAGGAACTCCGGTGCTTCATCGTAGATGCGCAGTTGTGCGTCGGCGGCTTTGTCGTCGCGAGTCGAAAACAAGTCGATCACTCGCTTCCAGACCGACTTCACGGTCTCGGCCGAAATGGCCACGCACCGGCGATCCCCCTTGTGTTCGCACATGGCTTGCTTTCGAGATTGGCGCGCTCGCTCCTCTGACGACCTGGTCGCGGACGATGGCCGGTTTTTCAACATCCCGACCGGAGCGCCGCGCCGCGGCGTGACGTCGGCGCTTGCGTCAAGTGAGCCACCGTGATGAAGACGACGACGCGCGTCGAGACAGCCGGCCGGGCCGACCTCTGCTTTCCGGTTTCGCTGCCGATAAGCGTGAAGGCCCGAGATGGTCTCTTCGCATCGGCTCCAGAGCACGTAATGCTCGCGGGCGATGAAACCGAGATTTGCCGCTTTGCGGGAGGAGGCCGGACGGAGCTTCCGGTGGTGTTGCCGACCTCTACGCGAAGGCGGAAGCACCCGCAGCTTGCCGAACGGAATCAGGCTAATCGTGGTCAATGTCGGTCACGGGAGCTAGAGGCAAGTCGGTAGGAGCGCGAGTTCTATTATCTTTGCACCACGGTCACCGCTGGCGCGTACGGATCAACGATTGCGGCGACCATGCAGATGACGCCAATATCTCATATCGGCGTACCATATCAATGATTTTCATATTCGTACTTGAAAGACGGCACAACGGATAAAAAGGTATCACTTACCTTCAGAACACCGAAGCTGCTGAAGAACGGCCATGGTTTATGTTCTCGTGTCTCATTTGGTCATGCTTTTTAACCCGCATTTGCGCGTTTAATTCGGGAAACGCAATCGTCACAGCCTATATCTGCCTGAAAAAGCACATGACCCTTCTAACAAAAGCACAAGTCACTTTCCTAAGATACTGCCTCGGCCTGACCAATGCCACCTAGGTAGTTTCAGGCCTGCTCACTGTGTCTGCCGTGGGCTCTGACGTCACTCCGTTCATTCGCTCAACAGACGTGCCTACGCTTGCTCTCGACAGACATGAATTGTCAAGCCCGACAAACGTTTTCGTAGCGTGCTGGTATGCGAGTTGGCGACTCGAGAAGACCATCTTTTCTGTGTCCGTGAACTGCAGCGTGTATATGTGGTGCGTTTTGTGCACTGGATATTCGAAATCTGTACGGCTGCAAATCCGAACGGTTGGGCGATGCTGCGTGGCAAATTTTCGCGGCCAAGATACCGAAGTTGCGAGTGTTTTTCGTTTCCTAAGTACAACCGAAGAACGAAATGCGAGCGTGTCGTTCGTCAAGCAGACGTCGACATCCGTTTTCTTCGTGAACCGAGAATGCAGCCCGCTCAGCCCATTAAGGAACGAGTACGGTCCCGATTTCTCTATCAAGGACTGATGCGGCAAGACAACTCAGTTACTTGCTGGCTCGAAATCTTACACGCACGTTTCGGTCGTCTATACCAGCTTCCAAATATGTCACTTATGTGAACTAGCTGGATCCTTCGCTCAAGCTACAACTATACTATCGCAACTTTCCCGCTCCGGTGCGGCACTGCTCTGCCGCCATTGGTTGGGTGTTGCATTCACAAAGGCGCATTCCTTTCGCATCGGTATGGTAGACACCTTTACATGCGAATCCTGCGGAGCTGAAGAGACCATCGAACACGTCCTGTGCTGGTGCGCTTGCTACGACACCCAGCAATGCCAGCTCCGGCTGGTTTTGAACCAACGGGGCTCTAGACGTTCCACGTCCTCCGTGCAGAAGACTCTGGGACCTTGGGCGTGTGCCCCAATAGCGCAGAAAGCGACCAAAGCGTTATTACAGTGCTTGAACACTACAAACCTGAGCGACCGCATGTAGACTGCGTGTGCTCGTGATTTTGTGTATTTTTCTTCCTTCTCTCCTATCTCTTTTCTCCCCTTCATCCCTTTCCCCCAGTGCAGGGTAGCAAACCGGACGAGCGGTTGACCTCCCTGCCTTTTCTTGCATCTTTATCTCTCTTTCTCTACGCACCACTGCGAGAGGGGCCAGGGCAAAAGAGGAAACGCCGCTCCTCGTGTCGGTCACAAGAGATTTTTATTAAACGAAAGATTTTGTTTTTCTCTTGCGATGGTCATGACCCTGACAATTTGCCGAATAACATACTTATGGCAGCGGCACACACTCTCCTCAATAACTACATGTCTATGAAGACAGATGTTCGAAAGAGTATAAATAAAACTGCAGAAACTTTGCAAATGAGTAGGAAAAGTTTCTCTGCATACTCTAGATAGTGTGTGCGTGCGCGTGTGTGTATATAAAGAATGAATAAAATTTCACTTATTTACTTTGTCACTTTGTTAGTCCATCAAATTTTGCTCTTATAGATCGACCACGCGTTCGGTATAGCGCACAATCTTTTACTTTTTCGTGGAAGAAATTTCTTACAGGTTACTCTCCAGACACTGTCAAGCGCGATACATTGCTTGAACCAGCGCTTTTTTTTTTTTAACCCCAAAGGCAGAATAAAGCTGTTAAGCATGTAAAACTCGCCGCGAACGCTTTATCTTAGTTCTAACGGGAGACGATGTATAGTAACGGATTCACAGTCACCCGTATTCGCGCGCTCGCTCGGGCAAAACGAGTGACGTCACTGCAGCAGGGAGCAGGCCTGAAAGTATTCTCTTAGGTGGCATTGGTCTGATTGTATAAACCTTGCCAACTACTTACGAAAAGTTGATCGACAAGTGAAAACGGCCCCGTGAAATGGCCTCACCAATTCTTCTCCGATTCTTTTCCGTCGCTAGCACACGGCCACATCATCCCCACAACCTGCCAACGTGCGCGAGGTTTTGTTGCACTCCGTGTATCCACGGAAGGGGAGGGGGGGGGGGGGGCTAGCATTCTGTTTCTCGAAGCCTTCAACAAGTGAGCCACCCCCGAAAAAAATTTATTTCCTGACTACAAGCCTGCTATAGGTATGAACCTACTAAACAAAGCGTGTATAGAGCTCCTGTGACACGGAAAGCGTTCCATTCCGTATTCGGCGCGCAGTCATCGCCCTTCAAACCAGGGCACTAAGTTCGAGAAAGCGCGCAATAGGGCGTGTGCACGGAAAGCTAATTGGCTGCGCACATTGTTCGTTGAAGGTCATTGATTGCGCTTAGTTTATTCCAGTAATACACTATATCCAAGAACGAAACAAAATGCTCCAGTTAAGGATAACGTTGGAGACCCATAAGAATGGGTGTCGCGCACTGAAACGTGGGGTTTAACGTCCCAAAACCACCATATGATTATGAGAGACGCCGTATAGTGGAGGGCTCCGGAAATATCGACCACCTGGGGTTCTTTAAAGGGCACCCAAATCTGAGCATTCGGGCCTACAACATTTCCACCTCCATCGGAAATGCAGCCGCCGCAGCCGGGATACGAACCCGCGACCTGCGGGTCAGCAGCCGAGTACCTTAGCCACTATAGACCACCGCGGCGGGGCGGGTGTTGTGCATCCCTGTGTCTTTTTGTGATTGTCGGCTATGTTATAACGCATACAATACACAGGCGTACTGTTCAGCCGCTCATATACTATAGAGCTACATCGACAGGGTATGCACTTGTGCGCGTTGGTGCAGATCCATAACCAAACTTCGGCATATGAAAATAGTCAGTTTGGAAACAGGCAAGACTGAATGAACTGACTTCAAAAAATAGCTTTAATCTAAAAGAACCTTGCATTATAGCGTCGAGCGTCAGCACTTCATCGATTAAACTTTCAAGCAAATAACCTGATTTCTCGATGCAGGCGGGGCAGCACAGGTATCAAGAGGGCGGAGCGTAGCTCTTGCCGATTACACCTCCGAATGATTGTACATCACATTACGCTGGGCACACGCGCAAATTACGACCACCTGTGGTTTCTTAACGTGCACCTAAATAACGCCATCGCGTCAATATGAGCACGCCGATACTATTCTGACTGCATCGTAATGCGGCCTCCGACGCCGGGATAAGATGCCAAGATTTCGGGTCAGCAGTGGAACACCATAACCCTTGGACCACCGCGGCGTGTTATCACCTGGCCGATGGCGGCACTGGGCCACGATGGATTTTAATCAATTAGGAATCTATCTCTCTGAGAAAACCCTGGATTTCCTTCGCAGTTTCGGTCTACAAGCGACTGATAACAATGTTTCCATCGACGAGCCTTTGAGCATATTGCCCCCCCCCCCTTTTTTTTGTAAGATCTGCCATATATCAAATGCATCTAATGTACAAACTAAATCAAGGAATTATACGCAGGACCGCCACAAGGCCATAAAATTTGGCAGCGAATACTGTACCGCGTACAGATTACGAACGAATGCCTATGTAACAGGTTTTCAGAAAAGCGACCTGCAGAATACCTCTGTGGCTTCCAGCACACATTTCACAACGTACTACTGAATAAAAGCAACAAAAAAATCTACATCTGCGCCGTAAAAAGCAGTGCCAAAGCTGTCCGCTTCCAGAGCAACTTAATAGAGTGGGCCAAGGTCAACAGGAAACATCTGATACCGGTTCACACTGACGAGAGTTTGGCAACATGACAGACAACATCCCATTTGCACTAAACGAAGCTGCATGGTCTGACGCTTCCCGCAGGTCGAATGCACGAACGTTCGAAATGTCCACCTTTGGTTGACGAAGCGCACACGGGACAATTAGGAAGCACAGGACAGGCTCTTACTCGCAAGTAAATTTTATTAGTAAATACTAACATATACAATGTATAAACATCGCAAAAAAGCCCCAAGATAAATACTGGCCACCCATTGTCAGGAACGCGCTTCCGCGCCCAATAATAATAATAATAATAATAATAATAATAATAATAATAATAATAATAATAATATGCGGGGTTTTAAGTCCCATTCTTTCGCACCCCAGAAAGATGCTTTCACAACAGAGAACAAGAGAAGCCATCGAGGCCTTTCGCATTCGAGGAAAGGGTGATATGTTCGTGAGCCTGTCGTCAATTTCACTCAGTGATGTTGCATTCTTATGTATTTCAGTAGCGCCTGCAAGATATGATATCGGATCTCTATTGGGTATACCGTGTGGATTTTTCACACACACACACACACACACACACACACACACACACACACACACACACACACACACACACACACACACACACACACACACACACACACACACACACACACACACTCCCACACGCACACAGACAACCCCTCCCACACACACACAACACACACACACACACACACACACACACACACACACACACACACACACACACACACACACACACACACACAC